ACGGTTACCGTTTGGTAACCTACTGGAGACCTACTGGTCCATTGTGTTCATCCTAGAAAGAATAGTAAAAGAAAGGAATGGGTGATGGAAGAGAGTGAAGATAGAATTATAGAGTATGATCCACGGCTAAAGAATTTGCCGTGTCGTCTTTAGCCACTTGAATCTTCTGGCTAATTGAAGAATTACTGTAGGGTCAGTGTTAGAAAAAGAAGACAGGTCATGTAACACTAGTTCCCCAATAAACTTTGCGTTAATGAGTGCTGAGCAAGTGTTAGACTGTCTCAATTTCTTCTTCGTCTTGACAGATCCTACAGTAGTCAGTGTCATCGCTAGCCCATTTCGAGGTCATTGCCCTCACCTTACAGTTACCTGTGATGATACCCACCACAAGTTTTAAATCAGGTTTCAACAATGACAGTAGCGACTTTGTTCTCTTTTCCGAGAGTATGGGAAATGGTACAACCCATTTCGTCTAGGCATCTTTGTTGGATTCTCCCAGAGTAGTGTATGTGATTAACCTGTAGGAAGTGGCATAGTGGTGGTTTAACCGAGTTATTGACTTCAATGGTAGTTGATTCAGATCCTAGACTGGCCAATTCGACTGCAGACCAGGATCTAAGTGGATGAAGAGATGTTAAATAGGGTCCTCAGCCTCTGTCACGTGGTCTCACTATAAAAAATTTAATATATTTCATTAGCTTGGCTTAAAAATAAATAAAAAATCAAATTCCTATTCGCAGAGCATTTCTGTAAATTTAAATAGTTTAGAGACCCTCTAAAGCGGAACAGGTGGTCCAATTGACCACCTTAATGAGGAACATCGAAACAGTTATGTTTTGATTACTTTGGCCTCAAACCCCAGAAAAATAGAACTATAGTACATCAGTCACGTTTAACGAGGAAACGTGGACTGATCCTACTGATCTCTTGAATAAAATCAGTTGAAACAAATGAGATATATTTATATCTCATTACGGCATTTCCAATTAATTTTGTAACTTATTATTATCTTTTAAGTTGTTTATATTTAATATTTTTTTAAATTGCAAACACTTAACCTTCAAATAGCCCATCGAATGGTCGTGGTCTATAGGTCACAAGTCTTAGCCGATTGGTAATTACAACAACAACATCAGCATTACATTATGCCGTGTCTAGGCAATTAGCCCGGACACGTGTTGTACGAAAATCAATTGCCTCTCTATGCAAAATGGTCAAAATAATAAAAAGGCAGTTATATTTTGTATTTGCATTTGACAAACAACAACAACAAATGGTAGGAAAGTGGATGGATGGTACGCGCCATAATTGTCGCGCACACAATATTTGTTTTTATTATTGTTTCTTTTGGAGGGGCTTAGCAGATAAGACTGGCTATTGTTTTTTGTAACGGAAATAGAAATTAATGAAAAAAATACACCTTTTGGAAAGAAGGCCATTGAACGTCATGTTTCGAGATTCGAGTTTAGAGTTAAGTCTTTTGGTCAAAAGTGGAAAAAATTGAAAATGTGATTTTACAAGAAAATCGAACACTTATATTCAATTTTATGCGAAATCATAAATTTCATATTCATCTCAGATTTCTGGTTGTCGTAATGAATCTCTGGTTTGTTGCGCAAGTTGTGAGAGACAAAAGTATTAAAAATCGTGACCCTTTGTGGGTGAGGTACCAGAAGGGATTCGCAGATATATATCATATTCACACAAGATCTTTTATTAGCAAAAATCTTTGTGTGTGTAAAATTTGAAGAGAGTTTGATGCTTTCTTTGGGCTTTTTTTGACCCTTTGTCGGGAAGGTATCAGAAGGAGTGTACCGATGCATTCCATCTTCACACCAGACCTTGGGTTAATAAAAATATTGTGATGTGTGTAATTTGAAGAGAACCAGATGCTCTCAATGTTGACTCTTTGTGGGGGGGTACTTGGTGGAGTGGACCGATATTGTCCATTTTCCCACCTGACCTAGCACTGATACAAATATTAGAATATGCAATGTTGAAGCCAAATCGGATTGTCCTTTTTTTCTGTGTATCCAATTTTTTTCTTTGAAAATGTTAACATTTTGTGTGGGAGGTACCAGAAGGAGTGGATCGAGACGGGCGGACGGACAAACATCGCTAGATCGACTCCAAATGTCCTGAAATGGATTTGGTCCAAAGAGACCTAGGGTCTAAAACCGTTGTTTCGATGAGGCACGTTTTGGCCGTATCAAATGAGATATATCCTCTCTAGCCATATGGCCATATCCCATATGCTTTTGCAAAAAAGAAAAACTAAAAAAATCATTACAAATATTACAATAGACGGAAGAAAGAACAAAACAAAAATCACACCACCCACAATTATTATTATATCACACACATACTGGAAGGCCAAGGCGAAGAAGAACAAAAACAATGTAAAGCCCGGCTATTTTCGTACAGGTCGTAGCTTTCACCTGATAAATCTTAAATAATTTTTTAAATGCTGCCAATGGAATATTTACACACATGCCGATTGCACCAAATGGACCTTGACAAAGCAAATAGTTCAATTCAGCGAGTGCGGAAAATTTGGATGATAGTCATTTATTAAAAAATTGCCATCAAAAAAGGTGATAAACAATCTGTAATTTTCAGAGTGAATGGCAGCAATCTTCACGAAGTTCGAACGTGTACATAAGTGCATATTGTTACATATTGCACTGCCAAACCTACCCAACTCACTCCAGAAGATCTGTGGTTACAGCTCATTAAGGTAGCTGAATTCTTATACCTGGAGCTCGAACCAGATTAGCAGATTCCAATCATCTGCATGTATTAATGATACAACAACAACAAAAACCAAGTGCGAAAGACTTGATTTTATGCTGGATTCTGCTCCATGTGTTAAAATGCATCTAGTTTCGAGTTATATTAGACATTTGATGAAATTCGATGAAGAGATACAAGTGGATGCTTTATCTAATTCTAGAAGGATTTTGAGCAAAGTTTCAGGTTATTTCTAGGTTGTACGTTATGCCTGGAACTAGATATTATTGATATGAGAAACATATTACGGCTTCAAGTCGGTTCTTACAAAATTCGACTTATTTTTAGTAAATTTGAAATTCGTGGAAAATAAAGATGAAGTCGGATAAAGATATATATGGGAGATATATCTAAGCCTGTATTTGCCACGGATTTATCTAACAGATATAGAATCAAGTAATCAAGGTCGAAGCTATGGGTGAAAAAATCATTTTTAAATAATGGTAAAAGTATTAAAGTATCTGGATATAGATAACATGGACCAATATAAGAAACGTTCTGGCACCGGAGTTAACTTCGTTACCCTTTCTAAACAGATACGTTAGAAAATGTGGCTTAAATATTGAGAATGCCGAATATCAAGAGGTATCGTCATGTAAAATACATGAAATCCTTATGTGATTTGATAGTACGGTCCATATAATACAATGTTTGGAGAATATTTAATGCAAATGTTGACGGCAATTGCGTCTCAAATTGTTCATTCGCTTAGTCCAATTTTGCCATACTCTTTCTGAAATTTCGGTCAGGATCTCACAAAAAAGCTCCAGATTTGTCTTCCAATGTGTGAATAATGAAACAAATTCGCCTGTATAGCCATGAGCTTTACCATAGCCCAACAAAAAATAGTCTAAATCCATTAAATCGCACGATCTAGGCGGCCAAGTTATGAAATCCCAGTTCATGCAACTGAAACTCTTGCATTTGGGGGGAAAAAGTTATATCAACGCACGGTAGCACTCAGCATTCGGAGCTCCGTTACGATTCGCAGCACTTTGAAAAAGTCCGGATGATTTTCTCTGGATGCATTGGTAGTTTTTTCAAAGCTTCTGGCTGGTCTTCACTCCAAAATTGACAGTTCTGCTATTTCTAAAGCAATAATCAAAATAAAATATTCAAAATGTCGTTATTGGTAGGTTGTACCCTGATTACAACAACAAAACATTTTCGGGAGGTGGGTACATGCTTCCCGAAATTTAGGGTTCCAAATTTCCAAAACAAAGGGCTTGAGATTTTCTCCTCTGGATTATGTCCAAAACCTGCTTCGCGAGCCAAAGATTTTTAAAGTAGGCGGCTATCGGCCGGGGCTTGAGATATTCTCCTCTGATTTATATCCAACTACTGCTTCGCGAATCCAAGGTTTTTAAATTATTCGGCCTTTCTTCCCAGGGAAGAAAATCTCCAAATTTGGGGTCAAAATTCGTCATATTTGATATCACTCATATTGTTGATAATAAGGAGCCGAATGAACTTGAAGCCGCACTGGGGTTGCCATGTAAATGTTAAATTTTCCAAAGCCTATAAAAATAAGAAAACTTGCGTTTTGCTGGGCATATCTTCCACTTCCGAAAACGACATTCTAATCTGTACGTTGCCTAAATCCTTACATTTTTCACTTTTTTTCTTATTCCGGAAGCGATGTTGCAACATTTGCTTGCTTGGACAAGTTTTGCCCCATTATTACATTTTTCAGAGCATCTATTGGGAGCGTATCTATTTTTTTATTAAATAGACATTTTCTAGCTCCTTTTGCCAACTCTCTGCCTCCAGGTTTTAAAAATACTTTAATTTTTTACGAATTTTATCAATTACTGCAAAAAAGGATCCCCAAAATCGGCAAAACAAAAATCGATTTATTGCCAAAAAGGCCGACATCAGGATTTAGCGGTAATTCAAGAGAGCAATTAAAGAAAACGATAAACAACAACAAAATTCCAGAGAGGATGTAAAATAAGAACACACAATACACAAATTTATTCTTTCTTTTTTGTACCTACAAACGTGAGTGTAGGGACAATATTATGCAAGCAGAAAGGACATTGTTCCATAACCAAAAAAAAAAAGAACAGATGAAAGGAAAACAATAATTCTCTCATTTTCGCACTTTGACTTTGACAACAGCCGTAGTTGTTTTTGTTTTTCTTACAATTACATAGATTTGTACACATTTCTATGAATATAGTAAATTTCCGGTATATATTTATACTCACAATTCTTTAATCAGCATTTTGATTTAACTCTTTTTTTTTTTTTGTACTTTCTTTTAAATGGTATTTGTTGTTGGTTTTGTGTTGTTCTTTCTCTTCCTGGTAAGGTAGTAGCTGTTATTGTTGTGATGTAGTTTTATTTCTGTTGTTGCGCTTGTTCTTCTTTAAGATTTGGGGTTGAAGGGATTGGCTGGTTTTAAAAACACAAAATTTCACTTTTATTTTTATGGAATAATTAGAAAATATAATAATTTTACACTTTTTGCCGTTGATTTTACTTTAATTTGACACACTGATAGCAGTAACAGCGGCGTCTGCAATGACAGCGATAACGACGATAACACGATAACAATTTGACCAACTAGAAACGTTGCAGAGCAGCAGCAGCATTCACTTTCTGTGTTCTTGTTTTTGTTGCTGCTGTTTTTTGCGTATTCTTGTGTTTTGTTTTTTTTAATGGGGGGTTTTTAGGAGAGAGAGAGAGAGAAAAATAGGAAAAGGAGAATAAACTATAAGAAAAAAAGGGGAAATATATAAATGGGAGAATAAATTGTTAAATGAGCAACCCCAAGAGAGCGAAAGTCGCCAAGTAACTCTGAGCTGGCAAATGAAAGTAAATTTTGGAGTCAGCACAAGGCAAAAAATAACCGAAAAATTATGCACAACCAAAAAGGGTCAAAACGCTAACTTTAATTTTTCCAATTTTAATGTATGTAAAAAGCAATATTCCTCCTTTTCTTTGCAATCATAAAAACACAGTTCCAACTGGAAATGAAAAAATCCAATTGGATTATTTTTATGTACGGGTTTTTTTAGCTCTTCAATGAAAGAATTGCCGAAAATTGTTTTTTTCTTCTCGTTCGTTGGTCGTGGCTTTGATGACGTACGTTTCCGTGATTTTTTCTTTTTTTCTATTGCAATTTTTTTTTGTATTTTCTGCCACTATCAATCTCGTTGTCACACACACAGAAAAATACTTGTTTTTCGTCTATCGAAAAAAAAAACCATACACTTTGCGTTTACCCCGTTAAATCGCAAGTGAGCAATTTATGTTTTTCTTAATTTCAATTTAATTAATATTTTATTTCATTGATTTTTACACTTTTAACTCTTTTTCCTTACATCGATTTGCAGATTATTGTGTGTGTACTTCTAACCGCTCGAAATATCCAATGAATTTGACATGCTACTATGGCAGTGTTGCTAATATGTAAAGTTGAAAAAATCGATTGTTTCTGTCGAAAATGACATTTTTTGTTGACAGCACCATTGGCCAAAGCTAAATGTGAGCGTATGACGTACGATTTATGATAACTTCCCAAAATAATAAAAAAAAAAACTAGGTGCCATCAATGGTACAATAAAAAGGTAAAGGGCTAAGTACATAAGAAGCTTGAAGTCATGGCTAGGCATATTAATGTCAAATTATAATGGAAAACGACGGCTGGATTTTAGTGCGGCTCTGTAATCCCTTTGTGAAATGTCACAAAATATGCATAGCCATGACTTCAAGCTTCTTATGTACTTAGGCTGGAAATACATAAAGCGTTTATCTGGCTGGCTTAAGTCATCGGCTGGCTTCTTCGTAGATGAACAAAGGAGTTTTAGGTTTATTTAGTTCGATTTTGGTCCTAGGCTCCTTTGTTCACTTCCGAAGAAGCCAGCCAGATAAGCGCTTTATGTATTCCCAGCTTTAACCCTTAAGGTAGAGCTACCAGCTGATTAAATTTTTTTTCAAAGTGTGCCCGACTTCTGCCAATTTATTGTTTTGAAAAATGAAAATAAAATATTTTCAAAACCAAAGATTGGTAGACACGAACATTGCGGTTTCATTAAAGCTATTAATCAGTTTAGCCGTGAAATTGAAACAATTGAACTGTTTGGATCATATTTTTGGGAGAAAATCCAGGTATTTCATTCATTTTTTGCGCTATTTAACTCATTAAAAAATGAGGAAATATTAAAAAAGAAATAAAAACAACTTGCTGCATATAATTTTGAATGCGCCTGACAGGAAGCGGGCATAGCCTCAGGGTTGTATTTCTGTAGTTTTACGAATCTGTTCTACCTCCTTATTGTACCATGGGTTAAATCCTTGGTACAACAAGGTGGAGCTACCTGCTGATTAAAATATTTTTCTAACTTCTGCGAATTTTGTCTATATATGTTTTAAAAAATAAAAAGAGAAGAGTCAATGATTGGTAGACGCGCATTAAAGTTATTCGCCAGTTTTACCATGGAATTGAAATATAGAACTGTCTAGATCATTTGAAAGAAAATCCAGGCATTTGATTAATTTTTTCCGCTGTTTAACTTGAATAAATGAAAACAACTTTCTGCATGCAAATTTTGAATGAAGCGGGCATATCTTCAAGGCTGTATTTCTGTAGTTTTACGAAGCTGCTCTACCTCACTTATTGTACCATGGTACCAAGGCTGCATCTTTAAAATTTTGTGTATCTATACCATGGTAGAGTACATGTAGTCGCATCGATAGAGCTGCTGAAACAATGAACTGTCAAACCAATTTTGGAATAAACATTTTTGAATGAAAAACTATAACAACCTCCGACTGGCATAGTATATTAAAACATATACACATATACTTATTTTTGAAGAGACATTTAACAATTTTTGACATATTCCCAAGCGTTGATGCATATACCAGTATTCTTCTACAATGATTATAACTGTCAACTCCAGTGCGTATACGTAATATAAAACCCCTTGGATCCAGTTTTGACGTCTAATCATTGAACTGACAATTAAAATCTATAGAATTCAGACTTGTTGCGCAATTCATTTACTACCATAACCGATTTCCCTTTATGATATCGACAAATTTGCAGAACTAGTAGATTCTTGCAGGTTCTGGAACAGAGCATATATGTAGGTGAAGTGTTGTATTTTTTAGAAACTAAAAAAAGAGCTTCCTGAAATCCTTTGTTCTTTTATCTTAAAAGCAAATCGAAGAAAATATTGTGATTAGCAGAACAAACGCGCCAATACATCTAAGGTGAGAATACATAAAACGCTTTTTTGACTGGTTTAAGAGTGGGAATACATAAAGCACACATTTCGCTAGCTTCTTCGTAGAGAAACAAAAGAGTTTTAGGTTGACTTAGTTTCGATTTATGTCCGAAGAAGCCAGCCGATGACTTAAGCCAGCCAAATAAGCGCTTTATGTATTCCCACCTTAAGTCATCGGCTGGCTTCTTCGTAGATGAAAAAGGAGTTTTAGATAAACTTAGTTCGATTTTAGCCCCAGGCTCCTTTGTTTATTTCCGAAAAAGCCAGCCGATGGCTTAAGCAAGTCAAATAAAGGTGGGAATACATAAAGCGCTTATCTGGCTGTCTTTTTCGGAAATGAACAAAAAAGCCTAGGCCCAAAATCGAACTAAGTCAACCTAAAACTCCTTTGTCCATCTACGAAGAAGCCAGCCAAATATGCGATGTATGAATTTCCACCCTTATGTATTCCCACCTAATGCTAGGAACACAATTGGAGCGAACGACGAATTTCGCCCTACGCGGCGACAAAATGAGCCGCGAAAATTCGTCGTATAGAACACAATACCGACGAAATTATAAAACAGCTGATGAAGTTGTTTATTTTTTGCTCATTTGTTGACTACAATGAATTATACAAGAACACATAATTCTTTACGTTCTCTATTATAATTTCACTTATGTCCATCTTCTCTATTATAAATTCACTGATATCCATCTTCACTCAGGCGCAAGTACACAAGTAAATAAACAAATTAATTATGTTTTTTTTATACGAGTAACAGATAGTAGAGTGACCATAACAAATTTTAAAGTAAAAAGTAACTTTATTTACTAAAACACATAAAATTCGTACAAGTATGGCCATCTTGTACTGTTTTGTTCGCCGGTCGCCGGCGTATGAAATAGAAATAAAGCTAATTGAGTTCGCGGCGACCGACGAAATTTTCGCCGGTGCCGTGATTGTGTGCACTTCCATATACACATATGTGTTTTATTTTTGACGACGAACATACGCCGCGAAAAAATTCGTCGTTCGCTCCAATTGTGTTCCTAGCATTAAGTCATCGGCTGTCTTCGGGTTCGTATAAGAACAAAGGAGTTTTAGGTTGACATAGTTCGATTTTGGAACTACGCTCCTTTGTTCTTTTCCGAAGAAGCCAGCCGATGACTTAAAGGTGGGAATACATAAAGCGCTTATCTGGCTGGCTTAAGTCATCGGCTGGCTTCTTCGGGAATGAACAAAGGAGCCTAGGGCCATAATCGAACTAAGTCAACCTAAAACTCCTTTGTTCATCTACGAAGAAGCCAGCCGATGACTTAAGCCAGCCAAATATGCGCTTTATGAATTTCAACCCTAAGCCAGTCGAAAATCGTTTTTTTTCTTCGAATGATTTTCAAACAAATGAAAACAGAATGAATATTTTTATTTAAAAAATTCCAAAAATAAATAGATATGTTTAATAATTCACAAATAATAGTAATATCTTTCATTGTTTTACTTTAAATTCATCCTTTAGAAATGCCACAGCCGTTTCCCAGTCCTTAAGCATTTTGCGTTTCTTTTGTTTCTTCCACCACAGCAATGCCGGACCATATAATAAACGTTTCATTTCATCCAAAGCCACCGGATCACAAATATATCTTCTGTCCTTGTACTCTTCAATAAGATAAATGAATGATTCAACATTCTCGTGGGCATGTCCACCAAAATAGACCTTGCAATCGGATAAATGTGGAAATGGGTGGGATGCGGCGGTGCCCATTTGTTTCTTTGTGGTTAATTCACTTTTTACGAATGTGTTGAATAGACAGACGACTAGTGGTAGCTAGCAGAATGTATCTGCTATTTATGCGTTTGGAGAATACGCGGGGAATGTCCCAATTTACCAAGAAAGCACACATTTAAGGAAAATGTAAATGTTTTCGTTTAGTGTTATGTGAAACACTTTGTTTGTATAAATCTCAAATAATAAACAGCACAAAGTATTGTCCATTCCATGTTCATACGATACGATATAAACTGTCATATTATTCGGAAGTTTTCCATTCTGAATGGCAGTTGATGGATTTGTCTGTTACAAAGTAAGGAAATTGCCCCGTATTTCATCAAATAACAAAGGAGCGTAGGGTGAGCAAGTATAACTTATGGGCCGGAATTAAACTAAGCCAACATAAGGCTGGAAATACATAAAGAGCATATTTGGCTGGCTTAAGTCATCGGCTGGCTTCTTCGGAAATGAACAAAGGAACCTACAGCCAAAATCAAACTAAGTCAACCTACAACTCATTTGTTCATCTACGAAGAAGCCAGCCGATGACTCAAGCCAGCCAAATATGCTCTTTATGTATTTCCAGCCTAAAACTCTTTCCACTTTAACGAAGAAGCCTTTTTGAATCTTAAATAAATCATCCCTGAAAAGAGTGCTTTTTTCTGGCATTTGTCATCGCCTTCCTTTTTCGTAAAAGAACATGTACAGGAAATTGTGTGCTGTAATTGACCTACAACTTACACTCTTTTGTTCTTTTACGAAGAAACCAGCATAATAAGGCAGATCTACATCATATACATCTACCCTGAGCCAACCGAAGACTTAAGGTGAGAGTACATGAAATGCTTTTTTTGACTGGCTTAAGTCATCGGCTGGCTTTTTAAAAAAAGAACAAAGGAGCGTAGAGCCAAAATTGCACTAAATCAACCTTAAACTAATTTGTTCCTCTACAAAAAAGACAGCCAATGACTTAAGGTGAGAATACATTAAGGTGTTCTTTTACTAAGAAACCAGCATAAGGCAAATCTACATCATTTTCATCTACCCTGAGCCAACCGAAGACTTAAGGTGAGAGTACATGAAACGCTTTTTTTGACTGGCTTAAGTCTGGTGGTGTCGGCTGGTGTCTTCAGAAAAGAACAAAGGAGAGTAGAGCCAAAATCGCACTAAATCAACCTTAAACTCCTTTGTTCCTCTGCGAAAAAGACAGCCAATGGCTTAAGGTGAGAATACATAAAGCGCTTATCTGGCTGGTTTAAGGCATCGGCTTGCTTCTTCGGAAGAAAATTATTTTATGTATTCCCACCTTTGGGTCTTCGCAATAAGAGATTTTTTTTCTGGCGCAAATAAAGTCTTGTTTAAAGGTGAGAATACATATGACGCTTTTTTGCCTGGCTTAAGTCAACGGCTGTCTTCTTCGGAAAAGGACAAAAGAGCCTAGGGCCAAAATCGAACTAAGTAAACTAAAACCTCTTTTGCTCCTCCTTTGCTCCAGCCAAATATGCGCTTTATGTATTCGCTCCCTTAAGGTGGGACTTATGTACGCCAGATGGACGACTATGTACGCCATACAAAAGAAGAAGTCGTCTATAAGTTGCGCGAATCGACGACTGATTTTCAAAGTAAATTTGGATAATTTCGTAGCGTTGTTCAAGCGTGAGTGTATTCATTATGATTTGTCAGAGTATACTGAAACAAATAAAAAAAGTTTCATCAAAATTTAATTAAAAAACACCCTTTACATTCTAATACTTTTCATACCACTTTAATAAAACTCTATTGCTGTTTTGGAGTGCAGGATATCCTTGGATTGCCAATCAAGCTCTGTCGGGTTCCTGGGCCTCAATTCTTGTTCTATGAAAATTTGAAATGAAAACTTTTAATAAAGGAAATAAATGTCAAATGAAAAATTTTATAAAGGAAATATTTTTCATTACATATTTTTATAGAACAAGAATCCATCCCCTGGCCATTATAATTTTTATACCATACACAAGGTGGTCAGGCTATTATGTCTTTGTGCATTTGTTTGTAACAGGCAAAAGGAAACGAGATAGACCCATAGTTCCTTTTGATGATCTGCATAGAATCACATTCTGATTCGATTTATGCATGTCCGTCCGTCTGTCCATGTATTTTTGTAAACAAAGTACAGTTCGCATTTATTGCCCTATCCAGATGAAATTTTGCACAAATTATTTGTTTGGCCCAAGGACGAACCCTATTGAAATTGGAGATAATCGGTCAAAATTTAGATATAGCTCCCATATATATCTTCGCCCGATTTTTTTGTGCACCAAACGTGTAATATCAGTCCGAATAGTAAAGAATTTGGCACGTACGATCAGATTGTGCCTGAAAATAAGTATGCCAAATTTTATCGAAATCGGTTCAGATATAACTATAGCTCCCATATATATTGATCATCCGATTTGTTATTTTGTCAGTAGAAGCCGTAATATGCACTCTATAACAACAATATTTGGGGAAATTTATCAAATACAGCTCAGAAATACATTTGCAAAATTTTATCGAGATCGGTTCAGATTTGGATATATCTCCCATATATAACTTCGTCCGATTTACCTTTTATTGTGCACCCAACGTCTAATAAAATCCCAAATGGGATGAAATTTGGCACATGCGACCGAATTGAGTCTATAAGCTAGTATGTCAAATTTGGTGCAGATCGGTTCAGATATAGCTATACCTCCCATATATATTGTTCATCCGATTTGTTATATTTGTTACACACAGCCGTAATATGCACTCCGCAACAACTATATTCAGGGAAATATATCAAATGCAGCTCAGAAATATCTTTGCCAAATTTTATCGAGAACGGTTCCGATTTGGATATAGCTCCCATATATATTCTTATCCGATTTCAAACTAATTGTGCACCAAATGGGCAAAACAAGTCCGAATTTAAATGATACAAATGCTTCGGCATATTTAGTCCTTTGAACTTTTAATTATAATTATAATCATAGCGTGATTGATTGAATTCTCAAATAAAAACTTTTAATTGTTATGCGGAGCTCTACTAAATTAGCAAAGTGGTGTAGGGTATCATAAAGTCGGCCCCGCCCGACTTTAAGACTTTCTTTACTGGTTTTTATTTTATTAAATGAAAGCAAAAAATGTCGGTAATAGCATCAAATTTTAGAATAAGTTTAGACTTGTTATGTATTGAAACAGCAATGTAGTAGTTTAAGCTATACATTTATTCAATTGTGCTTATTGGTGTGAAAAAAAGATCAAGACTGAAGTTACAGTTTATTCAAACTTGACACATGAGTATTTTATATAGAGTTGCCATATATTCGATATGTCTACATAATAGGGCAAGTTCATACAAAACAATAATATTCCAAGCAATGAGACTGTTTACGAGTTAGCTAGGCTGGGGTCAGAATCAGCTTATCATTAAAGTTAAGAATTCGGTTAATTTTAATTCATAGGGACTACTCTGAGAGAACTCAACAAGAATGGCCAGATGAAAGGGGATGTAATGTCTCCAAAAGAATCTGGCCCATACTCTCTGAGAACAAAATCGCTATTGACTGCAAGATAAGGACAATAACTTCGAAATGGAACAACGATGATATTGGTTACTGCAGAATCTGTCAAGATGATGATGATGATTGAGATCATCGAACATTTTCTCTGTCACTGTCCAGAACTCATTAACGTTAGGCATAGGTTGGTGGGAGAACAACTGCCACACAATCTGTCTTCATTCTCTAACACTGACCCTACAGTAATTATTCAATAAGCCAGAAGATTTAAGTGGCTAAAGACGAAAATGTTAGCCTTATAATTTTTACGTATAATATGACTTCTCCCTTTGTCCCCAATACAGGGTGAGATGAAAAAACTGCAATCAACTTCAGACTGCTGTCATTTCTAAGCCACTCGTCCGACAGCTGTTAAAATTATTCCAGCGACAGCTCATTACATTGTTTACAAGCGCACTTTGGTGAGCATTTTCCAGAAAAATAGGTTATTCGTAATAGAATTCAAGCGTGATAGTGTGATTTCTTTATATTTGGCTGGACCAACCATAAGTGACTATCGTTAGAGCACTCCAGCATTTAAATGTGAATAAATCGTTTGTGTCTCGTGCCATTGCTCGTTACCGTGATACTGGTAGCATAGCCCGACCTCAAGGAATTGGACGGAAGAAAACAGCAACATCAGCAGAAATGGTTAGAAAGAAAGTAAAGAAATGACTTGATCGAAACCCGCGTCGCAGTGGCCGAAAATGGCTCGTGCGCTGAACATATCACAATATTCCATTCGGCAAATATGGAAAAATTAGCTCGGGATAAAGCCATTGAAATTCCAAAAAGTGCAAAAACTTACACTGCAACTGAAAGAAAATAGACTCAAAAGAGTTTAGCTGGGAATACATAAAGCGCTTATTTGGCTGGCTTAAGTCATCGGCTGGCTTCTTCGGAAATGAACAAAGGAGACTAGGGCCAAAATCGAACTAGGTCAACCTAAAACTCCTTTGTTCATTTCCGAAGAAGCCAGCCAGATAAGCGCTTTATGTATTCCCACCTTTACTTCGCTTGGCCGAAAGTGGTGAACTGTCGAATTTGGTTTTCTTCGATGAGGAAACATTCGTTGTCCAGCAGTTTGTAAACAAACAAAATGATTGTGTTTACTTGCCAAAGAGGTCAGCTGAAAATGTGCACCTTCGGTTGGCCACCAGAACTCAAGCGCCGGCCATGGTGATGGTGTGGGCCACCATAACAGCCGATGGTCGCTCTGCGCTCGTATTAATCGACTGTGGCATCAGAATAAATGCCGAATATTATCGCGAAAATATTCTGTAGGGTGTATTAAAGGGTGAAGGGAGGGTGCAAGCAAACATTTTGGCCGCTGACCTTGGACATTCCAACAGGACTCAGCACCATCGCACTGAGTACGCGCCACCCAAGAATGGTTACAAAATGAGGTTCCTCGCTTCATTTCCAGCGCACAATGGTCGTTTGAAGACCATAATTCGTGCCAAATGTGACCAATTCGAAAAAGTCTAAACTTATTCTAAAATTTGATGCTTTGCCGACATTTTTTGCGTTCATTCAACAAAATTTATAAAAAAATGTAAAGATTATGGCGTTTGACTTTGTTGCAGTTTTTTTATCTCACCCTGTAAATGTTCGATTTCCTTCAAATTTTGCAAACACCAATATTTTTATCAGTATTAGATGAAGCATGAAAATGGAAAACTTCGGTCGACTGTGTCTAGTACCAAACGCACATGTTAACATTTTTTAAAAATTATAACATATCTCAAAAACCTGGCAAGTCGCAATATTTATATCATCCTTATTTATGTCCTACTTCATAGAGGGTCAACAATTTGAATAATCATAGCAGAAGTCAAAATATATTCAAATAATCGAACATTGGCTGAGGGTATACATCTGTCGGAAAAACCAACTGATAATTTTTAACTTGTTTTTAGTAAATTTTAGTAATTTTCGAGCCCTTTTAGTACGAAAAAAACAAACTTATCACACGCCTACACAGCAAGACTGGCCCTCGTGCAAAATTTCAAGATTCTAGCTTCCGCCGTTTAGTAGGGAATCAGCATTGGCAAATAATCAGAGTGTTTGGGGTATCATAAATATCACATCACACTGTAATCATAAGAAAAAAACACAAATTTAATTTTTAAAATCTTTGTCTTCTCTTGTTTATTTAATCTTTTCTCATATACAAAAACGATTTATTTATTTATTTTATATTTTCGTTATTATTATTGGTTTTTTTCTTTAAAATTGTCTTCATGCTTCGCTGTCATTATAAAATACATAATGCCTTTTTTTGTTCTTTGTGTTATGGCTGTTTGTAATGTAATTAAAGTATATTTATATATTTACTCTACAATATTTTAAATAATGAATTATTTTAAGTATTACAAATAGTAACTATGGATAAAAACACAACATATTTTAATTTTTTAGTGTTTCTTACTAAAACAATAAAAGAAATAACTTCATTTTTTCTCTTTAAAAGCTATAGATTACAGTGCCTAAATTGTTTGAATGGTGTGTTCTGTTTAACAACAATAAAATACAAAAGAAATATTAACAAAATAGTGAAATGGTGGATTTTAAAAACAAGAGGAAACTAGTATCTAAATTTATATTTATATGTATAGGAAACAAATAAAAGGAGGGAGTATCTGTTGAAATAAAGGAAAAACTAAAAACAGTCTAAGATTTTAAGGCTTTTTTGTATTTTTACAACTTCTTTTTTTCTTCTTCAAATAATTCTAATAACAAAAAATCACAAGCGTTTTTATATAAAAGTAAAATTATTTAATAGGAATATTTGTGTGTGTGAGTGTAGTATAGGTGTTTGTGGAAACTCAAAGTATTGGTGGTACGGATATAATGTGGATATGTATCCCAATGCTAAACATAGGGTGCGTGTATGTGTTTAATTTACAACCAAAAATGTATTACAAATAAAATGGAAAAACACATTTTTCTAAAGGTGGGAATACATAAAGCGCCTATTTCTGCTGGCTTCTTCGTAGAGGAACAAAAGAGTTTTAGGTTGACTTCGATTCGATTTTGACCCTAGGCTCCTTTGTTCTTTTCCTAAGAAGCCAGCCAAATATGCGATTTACGTATTCCCACCTTTACAGTTTTTTTTTTCTTCTTCTTCTAAGTAACACAAACTTTTTTTAAGCATTTACACAAATACATATGCAAAATCTTGTTGCAGACTTTAAATTAAAGAGCATTATTAACACACAGTTTTTTTAAATAGATCCGAAGAAATGGCATTTTTACAAATCTTGTTTTGTAAATTTTTTATGAACTTTGCAAAATTGAATGTCCAGAAAATATATTTTTACTTATGCTCTGTTCCAGTACCTACAAAAATCTACTAGTTTTGCAATTTTCCTCGATATCATACAAGGGAAAATCGGTTATCGTAGTACAAACTTTTGAATTCTTGCAATTCTGGAACAGACCAATTGTTAGTAGCCTCGTTTTGGGATATTTTTAAACGTTTACATTTTAAGGAGAGACTTTTATTCGTCTACAATTTAAGGAGAGACTATGTGTTTTTTTAATACTTTGATTTGATAAGGAGTTATGGAAACAAAAAACGAAATATTTTTATGGAAAACTGTAAGGATTGCACTGTCCTTTTTTGGGATTTATTTACATTCACAAATTTCATGGCCCATATTGGTGTCGTATAATACAAGTGATCCAGATACTTAATTTTCGCATCAAAATCTCGTGAAAGGGGATTTAAAGGCATGAAGAAGAGTTCTATGGGAGCTACTTCTATAACTAAAGTCAGTTAAGTTCAATCAAATTCAGTATCATCTCTGTTATATAACTATGTGATATTGGAGAAAACCGATAGTGGAAGCAATAATTAAATTGGAACTTATTTTCTTCTATTTTAATAGAAATAAGAAGGCGAAAATATGCAAATCAAATAAAATGTGACAGATTCAGGAACAAGTATAGGGTTTATCGGACAGGAAGAAAGGTATAAGTCATTGAATACATTTCTAATTGAGAAATTTTGAATGCGTTCGTTTCATTCATTCCTGACTGAAGACATTTATCGAATTTGTTCAATAGTCTGTAGCCTTGTATGATAGCAAATGAAATGAAACAATTTCGGCTGTCTTTATATAACACTGCCAGGAACTTCTAACCCTTTTTGAGGTCTGTTAACATACAGTGAGGGACCGTATATGGACCTTTATGTGAGTCCTTCCATCGACAACTCGAAATGACTTAACAATGAAAATAGCACCGAAATACTTTATTCAGACAGAATCACGTTGAAGTTTTTACAGCCGAAGCATGAGCCATTTAGAACCATTAAAGAAAGCCTGTATGTCGTGTGGAACCGACTTTATAATGCCCTACACCCGCTTGTGAGAATTATATCATACCAATTATGGTTATAGTTATAATTTAAAGTCCAAAGGAACTAAAATATGAGAGGAATATCCTGCTCTGAATCGATTCCTACATATATTACCCATTTGGTGCACAATTAACTTGAAATCGAGTAGAGATATATATGGGAGCTATATCCAAATCTGAACCGATTTTGATAAAATGTGGCAAAAGTATTTCTGAGTTGTATTTGATATATTTGCTCGAATATCGTTGCTACCGATTGCATATAACGGCTGTGCAGCACAAATTCAACAAATCGGATGATATTATGCCTTTGGTGCACAATTAACTTGAAATCGGATAAAAATATATATGGAAGCTATATCCAAATCTGAATCGGTTTCGAAAAAAATTGGAAAGGTATTTCTGAGCTGCATTTGATATATTTCTCTAAATATCGCATGTTAAAGAGTGCATATTACAGCTGCGGAGCACGAAAGTAACATTTCGGATGAACAATATTTCAAATTTGGCATCCGTTCTACATACAGTAAGTACAAATATTGGGGTATTGGAAATTTGAAGGCAATCAGAATCTTGTTTCACATTTTATAAGAGTTTCGCTTATTCAAAATATTGACGTTTTGGGAGGGACGTACCAGGGATTGGAAATAACATTTAAGTTCATTGCATTACATCTTTTCTTTGGCCGATTTCTTTTAGTGTTTCTCCCTTTAAAAGGCGGTCATGCTCTCTCATTTTGTTTGTCTCCATTTTTATATGAGGGCAGATCAATTTAGCTTTGACCGAGAGTCACACTTTTCCCAGTTTTGTCACTCTCTGATAACATTGTTTTTTCAATAGTTGTGATTTTGAAGAGAGACAATCATTACGACAAGCATATCTGCTTTTGCCTTGACCAGTGGAAAACGTAGGACTTTTGAAAAAAATGTATGTCAAACCCTCTTAATTTTTCCCAAAAGATTTCAAGGAAGTATTAACTATTATGGACCACGTGTATAAGCATGTCTATGACAAAAAAACAATTAGTTTTACAACAACAAAATAGATAAAATCAATAAAATATATATGTATGTATGCACATATCTATATACAAATTGACAATATATAAAATGTATATAATCCTTAATTGTGTATATAAATGTCTGTGTGTGTGTGTTATGTGTATTTTTTTATAATATTGTATTTGTTTTTGTAAAGCGTTTCATTTTGATGGTTGCTTGATTTGAAAGCAGTAATTTTCTTATTAATATCTGTCTTCATCACATCTGCTCTCTCTTTCTGACTCTCTCACATTAACTTCTTTTTTTGGGAAAGGCTATGGATAACCTTTTTTAAAAATTGTTTAAAATTGAATTAGCTCTACAACTCTGGTGGTAGCAATACCTGTTGTAGTTGAAGGTAGGTAGTTGTTGTTCGATTCTTCTTTTTTTTTATAAAAGAATGGATATATATTTAAAAAGAAATGGTCTACACAAATACCATTTCCTGGTGGTTAAAAAAAAATATTTGGTTTCATTATCATCAGCATCATCATCATCACTATTAACATAAATACCACGCCGTTCAGGTGTGCAGCAGCATTATCTTCTTCTTTTAATTATTGCTATAAGTTTCCTTGGCAAATTAAGTTGTACTCGTCCTTTTAGTATTTGTATGGCTTGTGGTTTTGTTTGTTTGTTTACTTGTTCTATTGTTGTATGTCTGCGTGTGTGTCTTCAATTGTCATGAATTTGCATTTCCAATTCCACATCGGTTAGATTAACTTCACGTATCGAATTAATGAACATGTAACGGGAGAAAAATATGTAAAGCCAACGGAACCATTTCATTTGCGATTGATGTTTTTTCATTGCATTGCGCACCACCGAAGACTCTTGCCAGCTTAGAATACACCTGTGAGGAAAAGGGTGAGAATAAAGTTATTTGATCATGCTCAGGGGGGAAATGTCTTACTTACCAATATCTCGACATAAAACATGTACAGATAATATCAAAAATTGATAAATATTTGCGTAGAATGTTAATCGAGTCCAATGTATAAAATTTACAATCTGAAAGTAAAGCAAGAACGGGTTTTATATTAAGATCGATAAGGTTAGAATTAAAGAGAAACTAAATACTTAATACTTAAAAGAAACTAAATACCAGCAATGAAAAGTCAAAAGTCGGGCGGGGCCGACTACATGAAACCCTACACCACTATACGTACTTAGTAGAGCTCCCGTAACAAAATAATTTATTTGAAGTAGATCATACAAACTATCAAGCTTTGGTTTCAGAGCAATTATAATTTGGTTTCAGAGGCAATTAATATACAGGGTGAGATAAAAAACTGCAACAAAGTCAAACGCCATAATTTTACATTTTTGTTTAAATTTAATTGAGTGAAAGAAAAAAAATCGGAAAAAGCATCATAGCATTAGAATAAGTTTAGATTTGTTCGAATCGGTCACCTTTGGCACAAATTATGGCCTTCGAAACCGTCACACGCTGCTCGAATGTTGCTCTGCGGTATTTTGGCTCATTCTCGCCAAGGCGCTTGCTTGAGGTGATCGACACTTTGGTATTCTTTAGTGCCAACCTTGCTTTTCAAAATACTCCAGACACAATAATCCAACGGATTGATATCCGCACCATCACCATGGCCGGCGCTTGAGTTCTGGTGGCTAACCGAAGGTGCACATTTTCAGCTGACCTCGAGTTTATTTTTCAATATTTGCCGAATGGAATATTGCGATATGTTCAGATCACGAGCCAGTTTTCTGTCATTGCGACGCGGGTTTCGATCAAGTCGCTTCGTTACTTTTCGAGCCATTTCTGCTGATGTTGCTGTTTTCTTCCGTCCACTTCCTTGATGTCGGGCTACGCTACCAGTATCACGGTAAAGAGCGATGGTACGAGACACAGAAGATTTATTCACAATTAAATGCTGGAGTGCTCTAACGATAGCCACTTGTGATTTTCCAGCCAAATATAAAGAAACCACCCACGCTTAAATTCCATCACGAATAACTTTTTTCTCGAAAACTCTCACCAAAATGCTATAATGAGCTGTCACTGGGATATTTTTAACAGCTGTCGGACGAGTTGCTTAGAAATGACAGCAGTCTGAAGTTGGTTGCAGTTTTTTCATCTCATCTGGGAGGCATATCAAATTCTTAATCGATTTTCACTAAATTTTAGGGAGATTGCTATAGAGTGCATGATATCACTTCGGGGAGGATTATATTAAAAATATATATCGAAGGCTAGTTCCTCCAAATGGAAACGTACGTCCGGAATCTACACCATTTGGGCTGATATTAGCCATTATTTGCTCAATAAACCTGGAATCGGATTAAGGATATATATGAAAGCTACATTCAAATCTTAGTCGATCTCGATGAAAACATATATATACCGAATGGAAAATGTATATTTTTAGCTGAAGCTATATCTCAACCGATTTTCACCACATTTTATGTACTTATTTCTAGGCTGAATTCGATCGTATGTGCCAAACTTCAGGTCATTTGAATTGATATAGGTCATTTAGTGCACAATGTACCCGAAAGCGGTTGAAGATATATATGGGAGCTATATACAAATCTGAACCGATCTTGATACAATTTGGCAGACGTATTTCGGGCGATTTCTGATATCTGTTACCAATTATCATTCTTGTTGAGTGCATATTACACATGTGTTAAAACCCCAAATCGGATGAAACATATATATGGGAGATATAGCTATATCAGAACCAAATTTGATGTACTTGCTTCTAAACTGAATTCGGTCAGATGTGCCAAAATTCAGGTCATTTGAACTGATATTGGTCATTTGGTGCACAAATAACCCGAATTCGGTTGAAGATATATATGGGAGCTATATCCAAATCTTATCCGATTCTCACCAATCTCAATAGGGTTCGTCCTTGGGCCAAACAAATATTGTTTGGGAAATTTCATCTCAATCGGATAATAAATGCGACCTGCATTTGTTCACAAAAATACATGGACAGACGGATTGACATTCATAAATCGACTCAGAAAGTGATTCTATGAAGATCCTCAAAAGTAATTATGGGTCTATCTCGCTTCCTTCTCCATGTTACAAACAAATGTACAAAGACATAATACCCTTACCACTATGTGGTGTAGTTATAATAAGTAACAATTAAATATGAATCAGTCGGATATGCTGACAGACAAGTCCTTTGGCCGTTATATGACATTTGTGGGAAAGAAATCTATAGGGGACACCAATATAGTATATCTGGTATATGTTCTAATTTTCTTACCTATTGTAAATATTTGAAATTAATCTATATTTTCAAGATATATATCAAAATTAAATGATAAGCAGTTCTTAATATTCAGGAGTTGGCCGTGTTTAAATCTTAATAAAATAAAACGAGATAGGAGCTTTGGGACCCTCTTCGGATAATTTGTAGAGAAAATACCACAATAATGGAACCGACATGAATCTGAAGACTGAGAATCTACGTTCAGACGAAACGGCTGTTGCTAGAATCTTGAAATTTTGTACGAAGGTCAGTTTTGGTGATAACGCAGGGTTTTTACTGAACATTGAATACTTCGTATTGGACAAACGGAATGAGCTAGAATTCTAATTTGGAATGAGAGTCATTGATGGAGTGCAGGGTAGATGCACGAAATGGTTTTTGGAAATCTGAACTTTAAGGTTACGAAAAGTCTAAAATGGTACAATTTGGTATTACGTGAACATATAGAGCTAAAAATTTTGGTATGAGAAACAGGGGTTGGACATTAAGTTTTGTGCGAATTGTACTAAATGGGACTAAATTTGAAACAGATTTGTTTAGAGTAAACGTATGAAGCTGGAATTTTAAAATTTTGTATAGAGGTCCCTGCTTGTGGATGGTTTGTAATAAAGAGTTGGTTTTCGAAATACGAACGTATAAAGCTGAAATTTTGACTTTTTTATTACAAGTGCAAGAAAATTACTAAATGGTGTCATATTTGGTCCAATTTGGTATTGGGTGAACAGATAGTTTTTGAAAACTTAAATTTTGTATTAGGGGCGCTGTTCATTTGTAGCCTTCACACATGGAGATGGTCTTGGAAATGTGTACTATAATTGTAAAAAAAAAATACTGAAATTTGATATACATATATGTCACTATTGATGTCTGTGGTTAAGATAAGGAGGTGGTTTTGGGAATGCGTACTAAAATTATGCGAATAGAACTGGGTGGTACAAAATTAGGTATTGGTTTAAGGGATAAAGCTGGAATCCCGAAATTTGATATTTAAGGTGGTTTTGGAAATGTATACTATAATTGAACAAAAAGTACCATGTTTGGAATTGTTGAAATTCTGAAATTTGTTAATTTGGTTAAGATTTGGAAATGGAAATATGGAAATGCGTACTAAATGTTACTAAATTTGATATTGGGAGAAGGATTAGAGCTGAAATTCTGAAATTTGGTATTTAGATTACTGTTGTTACTAGGGTTTAAATATGGAGAAGACATTGATGTAATTTTCGACAGAAAAAGATTTTAAAGACTATTTGGTGTTAAAGTTAAACATTTTTCTGTTATCCCCTCCAAAATGATATTATATAAAACATTATTATATTATTAGTAAAAATATGAAAATATACAACGTTTGAAGAAAATCGATAACTTGATTTGCAATTTTGTGAGTTATAATTATTCAAAATTTTGACCATTATGAGGAAGGTATCAGAAAAAGTGAACCGATTGCATCTATTTTCTCTCCTGATCTAAGTCTGATCCAAATATAAAGATTTACACAGATTCAGATATATCGGGTAACCCATTTGCATTCTACATTGAAAATAATATTCTTTAAATTTTCTTACTTTTGTGGAGATCCCAGAAGGATTCGACTTTCCTCATCTGACCTAAGTCTGATTCAAAAATTAAGATGTCCCAAGGAATATATTTTCTTTGAATTTTTTAAATATTTAATTTGGGAACGTGATCTAATTTTGATAAAAATATATATTACGTTGCACCATATTTAAACAAAATCAGATTATCGTGCGCACTCCAAATCTTCAGAAACGGGTTCCCCTCAAAAAGAGTCTAACACCGATTTCGAAGAGGCACATTTTGGCCATATCAAATTATATATTTCATTTGTATCCATTAGGCTGAGAGTACAAACATATACGGGAATGTCGGGCCACACCACGGAATTCCTTCCCAGGTGTAGATACCAGGAGTGAGTCGATTTCGACTTTCCTCATCTGAACTAAGTCTAACTCAAATATTAAGACGTCCAAAGCAACATATTTTCTTTGAAAATTTAAATCTTTTTTGTGAGGTGCCAGAAAGATTGGACTGATATTGCCCATCTCTGAACGTGATGTAATTTTGATAAAAAAATATTACGTTGCACCAAATTTGGACATAATCTGATTATGATGTGCATTCCAAATCTCCGGAAACGGGTTTTTCTCAAAAAGGCGTAGTCTCTCTCGATTTTTATGAGACACATTTTGGTCATATCAAAAATATATGGGAATTTCGGACCACATGACAGAATACTTTCCCAGGAGGAGATACCAGGAGTGAATCGTTTTCGTTTTCAAATCTTTTACGTGGGAAACGCCAGAAAGAATGGCTCTCATTTGATCGGCTCTAAAAAACTTGTTAGCCCCATATTTGTAATCAGGAGGCCAAGATCTATAAATGGTATAAACTTGAGACCGATCTGATAGTTATAGCTATACTAGGATTAAGCGCTCGATTCTCTTTCCGATTCATTTCAATATAATTTCTCCCAAGTATTTAAACATTAGCTTCACTCCAACTTACCTTTTGGTAACAAATTGGCTAGACATAACGAAGCTGCAGCATAATAGACAGCACAATGGTTTGGATGCTGGCTAACACCGTCACGATCAAATGTAAACAAGGCCTGAATACTTAGCGTTTCAACAGTGTGCAGAATAATACTCGCCACAGCATCTGTTTTCCAGTCGACATTTGGATCATCGGGTAAATTTGTGGCATTGACTAGAATAATATTGCCCTGAGGTAGACCCAGATGGGTGCAAGCGTGCCATAGCTCTTCGCGGCGTCTGGATGACTGTTTTTCATAATTGCCTTTAAAAGAAAGTGAAATGTTTAAATCCTTGATACGGACAAGGGAAACAACAACAAAACATGACTCACCATTCGACAAACATAACAAATAGACTTCACACTGTTTCTGGCGTGTTAACGAGTATATTAGCGGACCAAAGAACATGCACTCATCGTCCGGATGTGAGGTAACAAATAGAACTCTTTTGGCAGCATGTGAGGTAGGCCATGGCAAACGCAACTGACCCAGTCCCTTGTAACGGAAGATTATGGTATAAATGGCCAGGCATACTAGAAAGTATGCCAGAAAAGCGTATGCCAAGTGCTCCAGGGCTTCAGTGGATTTGTCCAACAGGCGTACGTACACAGTTTTCGGATGTAATGCGGCAAGTGTGGCTTGCAAAACACCCAGACCACTTGAATTCCCAATTAATAGGCTGCGCTGTTGCTGATACGCAGTGTAAATATTTGTGGCCGCTGTGCCACAAGTTGTCACTGTGGTATTAATAACGGAACCAATGAATGTATTCAGCCAGGACACATTCATTTCATTGCAAATGAACCCGTTGTGAGCAGCGCTTTCTGAGATCGTAGACAACAAGTCAGACTAATGGGGAAAAACAGCTGATTTCAATTCCAATTGGGGAGCCCGTGTTTGATTTGACATACACTGCGTGACCAATAAACAACACAGTTTTTAGCACATCTGTCACAATGCAAGGGATCGGCGGCGAAGCAGATTTATTCTTAGCAAAAATACATTAACAAATCGTTGTCATAAACATATGAATCGGGGCTGCTAATTATTTCAGCTTTATTTACAATGCTTTTATTTTAATAGACCATTAATAGTTTTGATAGCTCTGCAATTTTCGATATGTTTTACAGTCGTCGTGTATGGTCCCTATGAATTCTGTCTGTTTGGTGGATTTTTTTTTTTATTTAATCCTCATTTGCCTTTACCATTTATTTTCTTATTTGACACTAATCTAATATGTAGCATGTGTTTGTGTGCGTGAGAGTCGGGTTTGAATGAATTTTTTGACATTTGTTTTTGTTTCTCCATACGTGTCGTCTGACACAAAAGTTTGACATATGCGGCCGCATCAGCTGATTACAAAAACCAAAGCAACCCAGCAAAATTTTCGATGCCTACTTGTGTGTAAGTGAGTGGAAATGACATCTCTTTCACATTTCCAGCAACCACATTCAATAAAAGACTTTTTTGGAGCATCAGGAAGATTTTTGAATGCAAGCTATAATAGATTTTCTTTATGATATTGGGAACAAAAAAAAAAACAATAAAGATGCAATAAAATTGCATCCAAGATAGAAGGACAATAATGTTTTATATCAACTATGGTAGAGTTAAAGGGATAAATCGTTTTATCTTTTTTCAAAACCAAATCATTAATGGGAATCCGTTTTTTCATTGCAAATTTTCATGTTCAAATAATTTTTTCCATTTATCTATATTTATTTACTTAAGACGTTGTTTTGCCGTTGAATGAATGGGACAGTTCTTTGTTTTTTTATATACGAATGTTGGCATGTACTTTTGACAATTTTTCTGCGATCCGCGTTGTTTCTTCGATCAATTACTTTAGTATGAAAGTTCTTTTTATAGTGTATAAAATTCGGGAATTTCAAGTCGAAATCAATATTAGTTAATTTTTTTTTGCCACATGACACACTCGAATAGGGAAATTTTGATTTTCAAAGTTTGATGTTGTCAATGAAACATTTTCTGTAACTTACCTTGCCAAATTTTACTTCACAGAAAAGACGTTCCCATCACTGATTTGTGTGTATACAATGTCAAATGAATAATTAAAAAAAAAATTGTAAACATATGATTGCATGACCTTACCTTCTTGATTTTAACATGGTAATGTGGCTGGATTCTTATAATGTGAAAAATATTTCTGCTATTTGACAGAGAAAGCAGATTTAAGCATGGTACGATAAAAATGTGAAGTAAAGGTGAGAGTACATAAAAAGCTTTTTTCTGACTTAAAAAGCTTTTTCTGACTGGCTTCTTCGGAAAAGAACAAAGGAGCGTAGGAAAAAATGGAACTAAGTCAATCTGAAACTATTTTGCTCCTCTACGAAGAGCCAGCCGATGACTTTAGACAGTCAAAAGAGCCTTTTATGTTCTTTCAACCTTAGGTCAATTTCGAGACATAATTTAAAAAGGTGAAAATAATGGGTTAGATAAAAAATCTGCAACAAAGTCAAACGCCAAAAATTTTAAATTTTATTAAATGATAGCAAAAAATTTCGGAAATAGCATCAAATTTTAGAATAATAATATTAATAAAATTTTAGAATAATTATGGCCTTCAAACTGCCAATGAAACCGTCACACGCTGCCCGAATGTTGCTCTGCGGAATATGGCCTATTCCCGGCTATTGCTTGAGATGATCGACACATTGGTATTTTTTAGTGCCAACCTTGCTTTCCAAAATGCTCCAGACACAATAGTCCAACGGATTGGTATCACGAGATTTTGGTGGCCATTCGCTGGAAATGAAGCGAGGAACCTCATTTTTTAACCATTCTGGGAGTCTTGTGCTGAGTGTGATGGTGCTGACTCCTGTGGGAATGTCCAAGGTCTGCGGTCAAAATGTTTGCGTGTCCAAGGCTTTATACACCCTCTAAAATACTTTTGCAATAATATTCGGCATCTATTCTGATGCCACAGTCGATTAAAACGAGGGGAGAGCGACCATCGGCTGTTATGGCGGCCCTCACCATCAACATGACCGACGCTTGAGTTCTGGTGACCAACCGAAGGTGCTGGACAACGAATGTTTTCTCATCGGAGAAAACCAAATTCGACAGTTCACCACTTTCGGCCATGCGAAACAACTCATTAACTCTTTTCAGTCTATTTCCTTTCTGTTGCGGTGTAAGTTCTTGCTCTTTTTAGAATTTCAATGGCTTTACCCCGAGCTCATTTTTCAATACTTGTCGAATGGAATATTACGATATGTTCAGCTCACGAGCCGTTTTTCGGCCACTACGAGGCGGGTTTCGAATCATTTCTACTGATGTTTCTGTTTTCTTCCGTCTAATTCCTCGACGTCGGGCTACGCTACCAGTATCACGGTTACGAGCGATGGTACGAGACACAAAAGATTTATTCACATTTAAATGCTGGATTGTCCTAATGACAGCCACTTGTGGTTTTCCAGCCAAATATAAAGAAAATAAACTATCACGCTTGAATTCCATCAGGAATATCTTTTTTTTCTGGAAAATTCTCACCAAAATGCTTTTGTGCGCTTGTAAACAATATAATGAGCTGACACTGGACGAGTGGCTTAGAAATGACAGCAGTCTGACGTTGGTTGCAGTTTTTTTCATCTCACCCTGTAGACTAGGCGAGTTTACTTGCGACAATTTTTATCGTTTCTACTGAACTTGCCTCTCGCATTTATGCAGGACATTCTGATCTGAGCAATTTGTTTTTCATTATTGCTTTTTCCGCCAGTGTGATTGATATCTTTTGTTTACAAAAATTTAAAATATATAAGTGTTGGAACACATAAAATGCTTTTTGACGCAAAGAGCAAAAAAGTTTTAGGTTGACGTAGTTTAATTTTGGTCCATAATTTATACTTGATAAAACAAAGCCCCTTCTTTTCTTCTTTTACGAATAAGCCACCCGACTGGCAGGAGAATTTTCAGTTGTCTTAGGTCAATTTCGAGGCATAATTTAAAAAGGTGAAAATATATAAAAAAAATCTATTTTGGCTGGTTTAAGTCATCGACTGCCTTCTTCGTAAAATAACAACGGACATAATTTATACTTCTTCAATTTCGATGCATAATTTATAACCCATTTTTTGTTCTTTTACGAAGAAATGTCTTCCCACCTTAATATGTGTGTGGCATTTAAATGCAACTCTGTTTGAAGGCAATTCTTGTCTTGTGTAAATGGCAGATTATCTCATGTATTGTCATTGATAATTGGACATTTTGATATGACATTTACTCTTGTTCTGCTTTTGCCGTCATTCTTTATTTGCCGACTATAGAGGCACTTCTATCCGCAAAATAATATTTGTGAAAATTTAATTAGAAATCTTTAAAATTATTTTAATTTTATAAATGTGAAATGCACTTCGGCCAATACAGAAGATAGTTAAAATTAAGGTGATAATAGAAATACGGTCCGGTTGTAGGATTTCAAGTGAAGAAATAAATTTGAAGCAAAAAAAGAATACCAACGTGACTGAAACGAGATGAAACGTGATTGAAGCGGCAACACACGCACTTTACACCGCGCCAGCTTGCTCATTAAAAGTGAACCCCGTCAAGAAAATAAATTAGAACACCTTCAATGCGATGCGTGCTGATGATCATTGCTTTTGTCCATCGTTTACTTATTCTGGCATAGAAAATAATCTATAATTAACAAAATAGAACCGTGTGTGCAAAAATGAAATGATACATATATATTAGATATACATATGTATGTATAAATATGTTCTCCCCCCCATCCCCAAAAAAATGTGTAGATAAATAAAGAAGATTTTTTTACAACTTAGTTTCTGAATAACACCTGCATTTATTTGCCAATTGGCTTAAAATATCTCTCAAGTGAATGCATAGTGCAAGTGAAAAAATTTACTCCTTTGCCCATTACCCAACCGAGACCGACCGACCGACCAATCAACCAACCACCCACAAAAACCGGCACAGTGTGTGGTATTTTAAAAATTCCCGAAAGTTTAAAAATACTAATGTGAGTGCGGGTGTTTGTGTCGAGATAATGTTAGAGATCATTGCTTTACAGGTTAACAGACAGAGCGCCAAAAGAAAACGAAAGCAATTCGTATAAAAAAAGAAGAAAATAACAACAAAAAATCTTGGCTGTCCACAAAAATAGTAGCTAACAAAAAGAAAAGGTGTGAATAGTTTAAAATTTCAATTGTAGTGAAATAGAAAAAAAGTTCGAGTAATGACACAACACGTGCAAGATCCAGCTGTGTTCGAGAGGCGTTTGCGACCCATTTATGGTAAGTTGATGAAATCGGAAAAATATCATTTATTGACATTTTTCATCTTTCATTAAGTTTTATGAGTAGTCTAAGGCACCGACTTAGATTACGTAAAGATTCGTGCAATTTGTTGTCTATGGATTCCATAACTATATATTGTCTTTCTACCAGCTCATTCGATGTATCTCTAATCTGCCCCGCTTCAATTCTATGTATAAAACTGTAAGGAAAGTCAAAAGTCGGGCGGGACCGACTATATGATACCCTACACCACTATGCATATTTAGTAGAGCTCCCGTAACAAAATAAGTTATTTGAAGTATATCATACCACCTATCAACATTTGGCTTTAGAACTGTTATAGTTTGGTTTCAGAGGGAACTAATATATGGAAGTCATATCCAATTCTGAATCAATTTTCACAATATTTGACGGAGACATTTTAATATTTCATACCAATTAATATTGCTATAGAGTGCATGATATCACTTTGAGAAGGATTATATTAAAAAATATATATCGGACTCGGCTCCGAAATTCACTCCATTTGGACTGATATTAGCCATTATTTGCACAATAAACCTGAAATCGGATTAAGCTATATCCAAATCTTAGCCGATCTCCATAGAATATCGAAAAGGTATTTCCGAGCTCTATAAGATATCTGGTATTAAATAATATTGTTGTCATAAACACCAACACCAAATCAAACATATATGTATATGGGAGCTATAGCTATATCTGAACCGGTCTTCTCCGAATTCGATGTACTTGCTTCTTGACTGAATTCGGTCGGATGTACCAAAATTCAGGACTTTTGGACCGATGTTGGTGCACAATTAACCAGAAATCGTTTGAAGATATATATAGAAGCTATATTCAGATCTGAACCGATCTTGAGAAAATTTGGCGGTGGTTTTTTTGGGCTGTATCTGATATCTGGTACCAAATATCATTGTTGTGAAGTGCATATTGCGAATGTGAGGGACTTTAAACACCAAATCGCTAGAAACATATATATGGGAGCTGCATATATATGCACCGATTTTCTCCGAATTCTATGTACTTGCTTTTAGACTGAATTCGGTTGGATGTGCCAAAATTTAGTTCATTTGGACTTATACTGGCCATTTGGAGTACAATTAACCCGCAATATGTGGGAGCTATATATGAACCCGAAATATGTAGGAGCTATAAATATGATCCGATTATCACCAATTTCAATAGGGTTCTTCTTGGGCATAAAAATTGTTTTAAAAATTTCATCTCAATCGGATAATAAATGCGACCTGCATTTTGTTTACAAGAATACATGTACAGACGGACGGACGAACTTACGGACATGCATAAATCAACTCAGAAAATTAATCTTTGAAGATCCTCAAAATTAACTATGGGTCTACCTCGCTTCCTTCTACATGTTACAAACAAATATACAAAGACTAATACCCTTACAACTATGTGGTGTAGGGTATAAAAAACGGCAACCTGTATGGGTAGAATCCATAGCGACGATGAAGTTAGATGATTGGGTTTGCTGGGTAACTAAAGAGGTTCAGCATGTAACAGATGTCGGGCAAATATTCTTCGCCCTGCTATCAAATCGGGGATGATACGATTTGGAGCAGCTGCACCATCCTGATCGCAGTTGCGAGAAAAATAAAATGTTTTTTCGAGGCAGCTTTCGTTACTCTGCTGCGATTGTCGGTCGGTTGATCTTTTAGGGTCATATATATTGATTCTATGATCGCGCAAGTGTTAAAACTATTAAGTCTTGCATGATAGGCCTGTTAGCCTAGAGGATCTCTTTTACAACTCTTACCAGATCTTGAAGAACTTTCTTACACCCAACTCAAAAGAGTATAACGGTTTTAGTGTATCTCAAAATAAGATAAGACGTTGGATGTGCCTATTCATTATCAGACAACTATTTACTCGGAAAACATCGTTCCATATACCGGCCTATCAAAAGGATGGTCTGCACTCAATTCGATTTTTATACTCTCAGCCATATGGCTAGAGAGGGCATATATCATTTGATACGGCCAAAACGTGCCTCATCGAAATAACGCTGTAGGCTCAAGGTCTCTGGACTAAATCCGTTTCAGGACATTTGGAGTCGAGCTTGTGATGTCCTTCCATCCGCCTGTCTATCTGGCTTATGCGCACAATAACTCTCGAAGGAAGTATCCGATTTGATCCAAACTTACTATATTCTGATATTATTATCAAACTTAGATCGATTTCTGAGATGGGCAATATCGGTCCACTTCTTCTGGTACCTCCCACACAAAATGTCAACATTTTCAAAGAAAATAATTTACTGCACAGAAAGAGAAAGGATAATCCGATTTTGCTCCAACTTTGTAAATCCTAATATTTGCTTCAGTGCTAGGTCAGGTGCGAAAATGGACAATATCGGTCCACTCCCCCACAAAGGGTCAAAATTTGTAATAATTATGACTCTTATAAAATGTGATGTAAGTGTCCGTCCGATTGTCTTCAAATTACACACATCATAATATTTTTATTTACTCAAGCTCCGATGTGAAGATGGAATAAATCGGTCAATTCCTTCTGGTACCACCCACACAAAGGGTCAAAAATTTTGAATGTTCATGAAGCTCATAAAACACGAAATTAGCATCCGGTTCCATTCAAACTTGGCACATCTCAATATTTCCATCAACGCAAGATCTGTTATAAGTATGGTAAATACTTGTACCTCTCCCGCAAAGGGTGAAAGTTTTGAATAAGCAAAACGGTCATAAAATAAATAAGCAACCGGATCTCTTCAAATTACACTCATCGCAATATTTTTGTTAACCCAAGGTCTGGTGTGAACTTGGGATACATCGGTCCACACCTTCTGGTACCTCCCCCACAAAGTGTCAACCCTTTGAGCATCCATGAAGCTCATAAAACGCGAAATTAATATGGGATTCCGTTTTGACTTGGTACTTCTCAATATTTCTATCAACACAAGATCTCTTATAAAGATGGTACGGATCGGAGCATTTCTTCTGGTACCTACGCTATATAGGGTTCAAGATTTTTGAAGAACAAAACGCTCAAAGAAAGCGTAGTAAGTATCTAATTCTCCGCAAATTTCACACATCCAAATATACTTGCCAATACTTATATCTGTCATAACTTGCGAAACAAGTCGACGATTCTTTACAACTTGCTATAGCTAAATATTTCTCTTAACCAGAAATTTGGAATTTATGATTTCGCATAAAAGTAGATATAAATGAAGTATGAAAATGAAATACTTCGGCCCGCTATATCTGTTACCCTCACGCATATTTCCACATTTTCCAAAAATTTTCACATATCTTCTATAAAGTATAGCAAGTAGTCGATATAGCCCAAATCTGACACGTTGTAATATTTTTATCAGTCTTGTCAGATACGAATTTGTCAATATTGGCCAACTGCTTCGGAACCTCCCGCATAAAGGGTCAACAGTTTGAATAATCATAATTCAAGGCTGGGGGTATAAATCTGTCGGCAAAACCGACTGATACTATATTACTTGTTCATCTGTCTTTAGATTACGCTTTGGAATGGTATATAAATAAACACTACAAATGGAGAAAACTACAATTCCCACTTCATCTGCTGAATATTAGTAAAGAACGAATAGATTTAGGCATCTTTCCTGAAAAATTATTTTCATTTATATGCCATGACTTTTCTAAATATTCAAATTCATTACGATTATATATCAACTAATTAGTTGTAGACCACATACACTACTAAATCATTCATTCACAACCTAACAACAACAATAATAACAAAAAATTATGCTATCTTTAACCACATACACATAATTTATCAAAAATATTTACCTCTTCTTTCGTTTTTTTTTTTGTTTATTTTTAGATAACTTGGAGGTTGGCAACAATCGCAAAGCACTACAAGAATCCGAAAAAGTCTTAAAGAAACATCCAAATCTATTATGCGCCAAAGCACTTAAAGGTCTGGCGCTATTACGTCTGGGACGCTATGAAGAGAGTCATGGGTATCTGCAGGCAGTCGCCGATGAAAAGCCGGTGAACGATGCCACACTGCAAGTGCTGTCATTTTGCTATAAGGAATTGGAGCAATGTACGTTAAGGTTAATTAATCTAAAAAAGCTATGCATACTTATATTCGAAAGATACTTGAAGAAAAGCCAAACGAAACAAAATTGCCTACAAATTGTATCAAATTGAAGGCGTCGTTTGTTTCGCTAAATGACATATTTCAAATCGTCAAAACGGTGGTGCAGCTGTTGTCTGGCTATATGTACAGTGGGACAGTTGTAATGAATGCAAATTGTTTTTATTATTATTTTTTAATGCATTTAATATCAATTTTTATATCTTAAGAAAGAGTCGCAGTCAGTATTGATCTCATCCGTGGTAGCCTATTATGTTAAAAAAATGTTTGTATTATTTTATATGGAATACTTACGATATGATTCAAATTTCAAATTAATTGTGTTATGGAAAAAATAAGTGATGCCAACAAAATCTGCATCTCCAAAGCATGAGAAACTGTCAAACCATTCATATTCCCAGGGCTACCAAAAAGTATTATATTATTAATGCTATAACAAGCATCAAGGTAGCTTATTTCGCACATCTTGAAGGCATCTCTGTATCTGTCAAACACTTTTTGCGTGCAAAAGTTGATCGTCTTGAGATCTGCACCCATTCACGGTATCCAAAAAGCTTATGTACCAGAGAATTTTGGAAATAATACAGACTTCTCTTCGAAGATAAGTTTTTATACACTCAGTGAACTGATTTTTTTTTACCAACGATAAATGTTCAGACGCAGATTTTATCGACTTTCCAACTAAGACGAAGGAAAACCATTTGGGAGTGTTTCATATTCCTGCAACAGTTGAGCTCTGTTATAGTGTCATTGGTCAACAATATTTAGGGGTAGACTAGAATGGCACCTCATTAGAGATAATCAGTGGCCGATTTACATGAATAGAGGAAAATACTTTCCTATGTGAGTTCAATGTGCAGTCGGCCAATAGGACTCCAATAAAGTACAAAGTTAGTTTTTAAAATTTGAAAGCTATCTATGCCAAACTGACAAAAAAAGGTAATAGATCTATGTTGTATTTCAATAATGGATGTATTAGTGACAGCTCTATACGGAAATTCGTAGAACATTTTTCAGGGGGGTTCTAAACGAAGAGGAAAGACAAAAATTCCGAAACGTTCGATATTTCTGCATTAACACTGTTGGCCAGAGTTGAGCCGTAGTCTAATGCCATTGGATAAAAATATATACAAAGAGAATAGATTATAGTTCCTACAGAACACAGGGATTGAGCTTTACTGGGTTCCAGGTCCTTGTAATATGATTGAAAACAAGGGGACAGATGAACTGGAACGAACGAATCAATGTCATGTGATGATCAGTAACGCGGTTAATTTCCTCAAGATGGCCCTTTTGGGTCACATACTGTCGATGCAACACTTGGGTGTTAACATAGCCATGTTAATCAACACCTGTTGTATAAGCAACCTCCACCCAGACATGTGAGGAAATGCCATCATGATCTTGAGAAAGGTACATAGGTCTATAAAGAAAGTTAGAATAGAGAAAAAGGGAGTGCATACCATCCTCGGAGATGATCTGCCAACCATCGCAGCTGAAACTCGACAGCTGCCTCGACAAACCAGTGTAGTTTTGAAGCCACTGAGATCAGGATAGCGCAGTCGTCTTAATATACCATATACCTTTTACCGGCCTTAGTAAATTCCATTATATGTACTTGAAATAAATCCCCATATCAGCCCGAATCGATTGGAGTGCATATAACACCTGCCCAGCGTGTAGCACAAGCTCACTTGACACGCTGCAGCTCTTTTTTATTTGCCCAGCTGACCCTACTCATCTAAATCCAGTAACACTATGGACTCAATCCATATAGGTCACTTATTTTTTCAACGTGGAGTTACAAACTGAGCCATGAGATGCCGAAGAACAAAGACAGCTTAATATGAAAGTAAAAAAGTCTAGGTCCAAAGGGAGGACATCAAATTCAAACATTTCTGCGCGGGAACCAAGACTCATTTTTTCTCTTCTACAATTGGCGATGAGAGCACTTCCCTGCTGCATAAAAAAGTACAAGTCCACTCTTTCTGGTAACTCCCCCAAAAAATGCCAACATTTTCAAAAAAAAAAAAAAAAAATACTGCACAGAAAGAGAAGGGATAACCCGAATTTGCTCCAACTTTTTATATTCTAATATTTGCATCAGTGCTAGGTCAGGTGCGAAAATGGACAATATCGGTTCACACCATGAAGTAACTCCCCCACAAAAGGTCAAGGTTTGGAATAATTAAAACTCTTATAAAATGTGATGTAAGTGTCCGATTGTCTTCAAAATACACACATCACAATATTTTTATTATTCCAAGCAGGGGTAAAGATGGAATATATCTGACAACTCCTTCTTGTACCACCCTCACAACGGGTCAAATTTTTGAATAGTTATGAAGCTTATAAAACACGAAATTAATACACGATTCCTTCCACATTTGGCAAATCTTAATATATCCATCAACACAAGATCAGTTATAAAGATGATAGAGATCGGACCATTCCTTACGGTACCTCCCCCACAAAGGTTTAAAAATTAGAATAACCAAAACGATCATAAAATCCGAAATAAGCATACAATTCTCTTCAATTTACACACATCACAATATTTTGGTCAATTAAATTTATTGCATATTAATAGCATAAATTACAAACAACTGAAGTCAAAGAACACATTTATTCCATTCAGTGAAGTACGGCACCACCAAAGCCGACAGCTGAGCCAACGGAGGATGTGGCGATTTCGGCTTGTTTCTTGCCAAATTGATCTTTCATATTGTATAGATTTTAACAAAATATTCAATGTGGATATTCTTCTACGAAGTTTGGCCTCCTTCTCAAATAACCCTGAATATGGAATTATCCCAAGGTCTGGTGTGAAGATGGGATATATTGGTTCGCTCCTTCTGGTAATTCCCCCACAATTTGTCAACATTTTGAGTATCCATGAAGCTGATAAAACGCGAAAATAACGTCCGATTCCTTTTAGTAAGTCTATCTATCATACATCTCAAGATTTCCATCAATACAAGATTTGTTATAAAGATGGTAGAGATCGCACCATTTCTTCTGATACCTCCCCCACATAGGGTTCAAGTTTTTGAAGGACAAAAGGCTCAAAGAAAGCAATATAAGCATCCAATAAGTGGGTACCTCACCCACATAGGGTCACATTTTCCAATACTTATATCTGTCTTAATTGCGCAACAAGTCGGCGATTCCTTACAACTTGCCATATCTAAATATGCCAATTAGCCAGAAATCTGATATGAATATGTAATTAATTGGAATTTATGATTTAGAAATGAAATCATATAAATGTTCGGTTTCCTTTAAATATTTCACAATAATGGAATGGCACATATCTCATATAAATTACAGGAAGTAGTCGATATAATCTAAATCTGTCACGTTGTAATATTTATATCAGTCTTAGGTTAGATACGAATTGGCCAATACTATTTAACTTGTTATATTATAAAAAGGTTGTTTAGGCATGGAGAAGAAATTACATTGTTCATCAAGAACCTATTAAAATAACAACATTTTGCTCTGTTACCCCTTTTTTGTTAAATATTTAATTTTTGCTTTTACAAACACGTGAAACTTCTTTAAGAAATTCTATTTTTATTTTTTGCTTAATAGTAAAGGAAAGAAGAAGCAAAAAGATAAATAGATTTTGTGATACGCGCCAAGTCATTTTTATCCACTTTTATCTTCTGGGAAGCTGAAAAGTAATTGCTGGTTCTGTGTCGGAGAATATGAACATATCGTGTATAATTTGTTCTCCCATAAGCCTGTCTTACAAAATGTCTCCTTCTAATAATTTCCACAACATGTTTAGGTTAGATTTCGAAAGTTAGTTTTTGAACAAATTTTAAAACATTTTTAATCTTGTGATCATTCAAAAACAAGTCCGTGGTCTAAATTGATGTGACATATATAAATTTCTCTACTATTCCTCTATTTAATATATCAAATAGCCAAGTCCCACTGTGTGTCAATCAAAAATGATGATACAGCTATAATTTATGCTGAGACCATTAAACACTATGTTTGATATAAAAAAAAAACATTGCATACAAATGATTGCATTTAGCATTAACACTTAAAAGAGTAAAGACACTATTTTATTGTTTAAATTTTTTTAAAGAATAGCAACTAATCATTTCAAAATTTCTTCCTCCTTCTTTTTAGTGGACAAAATTGTGGAAATCTACAATTATGCGGTCAAACAATCACCCAACAACGAAGAACTCTTGGCACATCTTTTCATTTCGCATGTGCGCATGGAGGATTTCAAATCACAGCAATCGGTTGCCCTACAAATGTACAAAGCTCAACCCAAAAATGCCTATTATTTTTGGGCCGTCATGAGTGTGGTGCTACAGGTTGTTGTTATGTTAACCTAATATATGAGCTAATAATAATAAGTACCTTTCCTCGTCACAGGGTATTCGTGGTCCCGAACGAACCAACCCGGCTAAACGAAAGATATACCTATCGTTGGCTCAGCGTATGGTCGACAAAATGATACAAGAGAATAAATTAGAATCGGAACAAGAGGCATTCTTATATTTGCATATTTTACAATTGCAAGAAAACTATAAAGGAGCTTTGGAATTTCTCAACGGCCCGGTGTGTGAAAAAGTCTATCCTGGTGCACCGATATATTTGAAAATTAATCTGTTGAAATCGCTGAAAATGTGGTCGGAATGTAATGAGCTGTTGAAGAAACTATTGAAAGAAGAGTAAGTTCGGATGAATGGTTTTTTAATTGATTCTATTTTAAAGTTATTTTCTCAATTTAATTTTAGCCATGATCGTTGGGATTATTATAAGGATTACATAGGCACCTGTTTTGAGTTGTATGACCTACAAAAATCAGAAAACTCGGACGAAGGCACAGATAAAGCAGAATCTATGAAGCCCCTTGAAGAATGCCGAGATTTTCTAACAGAGGTATTTAATATGTTTAGTGAATAATATCGACATTATGTTACAAGTCAATGTTGGTGTCTTTAAGAACAAATACGTCCTTGTTTACCCACCGCATCATGAAAGTTTTGGAAGTAAGCCACAGCGTACCCAAGCTTGCAAACAAATTGAAATATTTTATGATGATTATCGTAGGAAGTATTCGATCAATAACCATTGAAGTTCTATATAGATTAATATACAGGGTGAGATAAAAAACAGCAACAAAGTCAAACGCCATAATTTTTGCATTTTTTAACAATTTTTTAAAATGTCTAAAAAAAGGATCAAATTTTAGAATAAGTTCAGATTTGTTCGAATTGGTCGCCTTTGGCACGAATTATGGAAATACGGCCAGTAAAACCGTCACACGCTGCCCGAATGTTGCTCTGCGGTATTTTGGCACATTCCCGGCGAAGCGCTTGTTTAAGGTGATGGATGGATGGATGGTATTTTTTAGTGCCAACCTTGCTTTTCAAAATACTCCAGACACAATAGTCCAATGTCGAAAAAACTGGTGGGAAATATACAGGTTTCAGATTTAATGAATATGATGCAAAAGTCAATGGAAGGTATTATGGATGAAAAACTCAAAAATCTAGCTACAAAGAGCGATTTTGAGGATATTAAAACTAACGTCGCAGAAATCGATAAGAAATGTGAAGATCTGAAAAATGAAAATGAAATATTACGATCTGAAATCAACAAGCTAAAAGCAGAACGCGAAAGAGACAATGAAAATTTAAGACGTCTAGTTGACCAGAGTAAACGCAAAAATGTTATATTCAAAGGCATTAAGAAACAAGGCTCACCGAAAAATTCTGTTGAAAATGTCTGTATAAACGTTTTGAAACTTAATGATTTGAAAATTAAAATGGCAAGAACTTTATATTCAAACAATGGAAAAATTGGAGTTGTAGCTGAAATGCAGACGGAGGAAATGGTACATAAAATATTTAAAAATACCAAAAATTTAACAGGGTCTACCATAATAATAGAGAGAGATTTGAGCGAAGAAAGACAACAAGATCGCAAAGTTCTCTTGCAAATAAAATCAGCCATACTTCAGACTGATAAAACGCATAAAATATTTGTTAGAAATGATTCCCTCAAAATTGGAAATAAATGGCTACATTTTTCAAAAAACCACGAACTGATGTCGGGAAGTAATAAAGCCGAAACGGTACTCAAAGAACTCTATGGTAATAAACTAGCGGATTTAAATATAGATTATATGCATTTACTAAAAAATGTCATCCAAAAAAACTAATTGAACGAAATATATGTAAAATCAAACCCATCACAGAAGAACATAATCTAAAAATAATTTCGTACAACATTCATGGACTTGAAAATAAAACATTATATCCAGATTTTTTCAAATATCTAGCCGATTTTGATATTATTGCCCTTTGTGAGACACATATCTGTCAAGATAAAATAGTTTTTTTTAAAAAGTACTTTGGTGACTTTTGTACGACTTGGTATCCGGCAACAAGAAATAGCAGATTTGGAAGAGGAATAGGAGGTAGTGTTGTTGGGGTAAAAAAAACCTTAAAAAATATTGGTTTAAAATACAGCTTTGAATGCAGATTTGGCATAAATTACGTCAAATTCAAAATCAACCAAAATAGTTTTCATCTAATACCACTATATATGAGGTCAGCAACCTGGAATGAAGATTTTCAAAAATTGGACTTATTCCTGAAGGAGAATTATATAGAAAATCCAATAGTAATTGGTGACTTAAATATAAGAATTGGCAATATGCAGATCGAAATTGAGGAAGACCAAAAATCAACTTTTTATGCGGGTTTGGAGGAAAGAAAATCCAAGGATGTCGAAATAAATACCAGAGGAAAGAATTTCATCGACTTTTGCTATGATCATGGTTTGCTGATAACAAATGGCATGACTAAAGGGGATGAATGTGGAGAATTTACATTTGTGAGCACAGTTGGAGCGTCAGTGAATGACATATGCGCAGTCTCCCATAATCTTCTTTCAAACGTTGATGAATTTCGAATCGAAAATAAAACCTGGTCTGACCATATGCCAATAATATTATCATTAAATATCAAACTACAAAACGAAAAAGAAACCTTAAATACACTTCTGCCAAAGCTAAAGTGGAATGCAAATAAAGCATCAGATTATCAGAATAAAGTATTGGAACTCATCGAAATAAGTGGTAATCAAGGTACTTTTACCTTTTCAGATGTAACGAATCTTATTAAAGATGCATCAAAAATCTTCTTCAAAAAAACACCTAATTTTGCGAAAAATGAAAAATGGTTCAATACAAGATGCTACAATGCTAGAAAAACTTCCATGAAGAAACTTAACAGATTCCGGAAAGACTCTACAATAGAGAACAAACGCAAATACCTAGAAAGTAATCGTATATATAAAGATGCATGCCGATTGGCTAAACTGCAATATTTCAGCAGTTTAGAAAGAAAACTTGATAATGTCAAAGATAGCAAAGATTGGTGGAAAATAGCTAAGGAAATCCGAAATGATACAAATAATCAAAGAGGAATATTCGTCGAACCAAACGACTTCAAACGGCATTTTGAAAAATTGCTCAACCCACCGCAAACATCACCAGATATCCAGTACGCTCCAAACTTTTTCATAGATGATGATTTGGACAAGCCTATTTCAATGACAGAGCTAAAGAACGTCTTAAGAAAATGTAAAGTAAATAAAGCTCCAGGAGAAGATCGTATTCCATACGAGTTCTACAAAAATGCTCCAGAACAATTGCTACAGGAAATCGTAAATTCATGCAACAAAGTTTTCAACTCTGGAAACGTTGACTCGACATTTTCTACCAGCATAATCTACCCTATATTTAAAAAGGGAGACACTACACAAGCTCAGAACTATCGAGGGATCTCTTTTATGAACTGCTTGCCAAAAATTATGATGGGAATTATTACGGAAAGGTTGTACAATTGGGCGGAAAAACACAAAAAGATCAATGAATATCAGTCCGGTTTTAGAAAATACTACTCGACGAATGATAATATATTCAGTCTCACTTCGATGGTCCATATCAACTGGCATGAAGATAAGAAAACATATGCGTTCTTCGTAGATTTTAAAGCGGCATTCGACAATGTTTGCAGAAAATCTATGCTATATAAATTAAATATCCTTGGTGTGTCAACAAAGGTAATAAGATTTATAGAAAATGTATATAATGATACAAACTTTATGGTATGGACAGGACATGATCTCTCCGATAAATTTTCGACGTCAGCAGGAGTAAAACAAGGATGTTTACTGTCCCCATTGCTATTTGCCCTATACCTAGACGATTTACATGAGTTCATCGGCGGCGGTATCGAGATTGATGACCTAAATATAAGAATTTTGCTTTATGCAGATGATATAGTAATCCTGGCAAATGACGTGAAGGTACTACAAAAAATGATAGATAAATTAGAAGAGTATTGTAGTATATGGAATGTTACTGTCAACTTGGAAAAGTCAAAAATAATGGTATTAAGAAAAGGTGGAAAAATCTCGCAAAATGAAAAATGGCTCTACAAAAATGAACCAATTACAATTACTTCGGAATTTACCTATCTTGGGATGTTACTAACACCAAAGCTCTCTTTCAAAAACCACATTTTGGCAAGAAATAACTCATCCAAAAACTGTATAAACTCTACATGGAAATCCTTTTTGAATAAGCCCGATGTATCAATTACGTCAAAATGGAAACTGTTCTCAGCAGTTTGCAGATCAATCCAACAATATGGCGCGCAAATATGGGGATATACAAATTTTGAGGACGTAGACAAATTAGAAATTTACTTCTGGAAGAAAATATTAAAACTCCCAAATTTCACACCAACATACATATTAAGATTAGAAACCGACATGGAACATAGCCATATCCTCTCCTTGAAAACCCATTTGGATTATATCATTCGAGCCATATTTGATTACAATAGCGACCGATTACCTCACAAACTGGCGAAAATAGTTCTGCAAAAAGACATTTACTGGGCAAAGCATATTCGTGCACTCTTAATGCAAAACAATATCGAACCATTTAATTTAAATAGTACCAAAAGCGAAGTTGTGGAAAAAAAAGATCACCTCCTAAAGACATTAGATTACAAATATTGGTGCGATGCCATAAATAGAGCCAATCAAACGACCCGAATTTACTCGAAGCTAGACCCATCAGTAGGTCAAACTTACATCAACTCGCTGTTAACGTCAGAGGAGAAAATGTGGATATTCAAAGCCAGAAGCGATATTATCAAACTTAATCTCAATAATATAGATGCAAATAGGAACCCACTCTGCTCCTTATGCAACTTGATGGAAGCTGAAAATCTTCAACATTTTCTTTGTAACTGCCCCATATTTAAAGAATTTAGAATTATGTTCTTCAAAAAGACACTGCTTAAGGAAGATGACCTTATAAATATTTTAAATGGATATATTGTAAATTGGAAATATGTCGCAAGTTTTATAAAAATTTGTACACAATATAGAAATCAGCTATTATCTGAATTTAACTTTTAAATCCCAATTTGTATTTTCAAACAATGTCTTAAAAAATAATAATAATAATAAAATAAAAAATAAAAAAAAAAAAAAAAAAAAAAAAAAAATTACAACATAAGCTACAGACAGACAGCCATAGGCTATTGTCTTATCGATATTATATATCTAATTTTTTATTTAATATTACATAAAAGTTTAATTTAATATTACATACACTGTAACGAATTTGAAATGTTTAAATAAAAAATACTCTACTACTACTACTACTACTAGTCCAATGGATTGGTATCCGGAGATTTTGGTGGTCATTGTGCGCTGGAAATGAAGCGAAGACCTCATTTTGTAACCATTCTTGGCGTGCTGAGTCCTGTTGGAATGTCCAAGGTCTGCAGCCAAAATATTTTTCCTCATCATGACAGATTCTACAGTAATCGTTGTTCATCGTGGCCAATAAGTCTCTGACTTTTTTGACCGCCATGATTTCCGCCTGGAACATACTAAAGTCGTTACCGAGCTTGTAGGATTCACGTTCATATTAAGGGTAGTCCAACTTAACTTTATAGCTTACTTCACAAGATATGTGGTTTTGGCCGCATTTTTGAACCAGAACTAAGTCCGAAAGTTTTGCATAAAGTTCTAACTCATCCCACGCCGACAATACTTTCTTCGTATATTCTTCAATGACACATCGGACAGTTCCCCTACTCCAAAGACCACAAAGACCGGAGTCTAAAGACTTTTCGTTTTCACAGTAGAATATCTTATTTTAAACAGGTTGCCGTTGCCAAACTGCATTCTCCCAGGATCTCCTACCACAAGGAAGGCCATCTCTTTCTAGGAAGGCTATTTTCCATAGGCTTTTGGGATAAGAAGCCGCCGAATGTCGCATATTTTGCCTTCCGGACTAGCTTGGTCGATGACAGCTACATAATGGTGATCAGGTAAAAGGTCTGTGAGAACTTCTTCCAATCGCTTTTCTTGAATATTGAGATTTAGTGGTTTCCTTTTGGCCCACACCAAGTGTGAGGTCTGTAACCGGTGGCCGAAGTGAACGCCGGAGAGGGTGGCAAAGAGGCTAAACAACGAAGATTTGTTAGTCTCTGAATGATTCTTCCGTGAACCTTCTTCTCTTCATTGTTGTGCGTGAAGAGGACGGTACATTCCTTACTTCAGAACATTTGAGGTGGAGACCATAGGAGACGCATGGCAAAGAAACTCGACTCGAAGAATCAGAAGGGCAATGAATTAGCTCGAGGGGGCTTCAATTTGATTGATCTACCGATTGATGTGTCTGTCACCAGACCGTCGAGGCTTATCTCCTCCCCAGAATCAGTGGTTTTTTTCCCAGTTGCCAACCACCAACACATAATACCACAACATCATAGAACGCCATATCCACACATATATTAGTCGAGGACTCAACCAACAACCACTTCCTTCTCTTTCGCTACTACTACTACTTATTTTTCCTGTGATGAGCACAATGGACCGAAGTTACACGGAGCTTCCGTGGAACTATATACGACTTGTTTCACATATGTCTTCCAGTGTGGGATTTATTTTATTTTCCTTGATGTTTCGTTTTCCTCATCCTCATTAACCATTTAATATTAAACATTTGTTTTCCAGATAATTGAAACATCAACGAAAAAGGTCAGAGGTCCTTATTTGGCACGCCTCGAATTGCACCAACGTTTGCGACAACATAATTTAGATGCCAACACTTTTATGGGAGAATTCTGTGATTTGGTTGTTAACTATTTCCGTTTGTTTAGTGATAAACCATGCTGTACACACGATATCTCCTTGTTCTTGCCGGCCATATCTTTGGAAGATAGAAAACAGCTGGCCAATAAATTGTTGGCGGAAAGTGGTATTAGCTCTACAAATTTACCAAAAGATGTAAGTATTTTTTGTGGGACATAGTGAGGCTAGATTATCTTTTCATAATTTTTTTTCTTTGCATTACAGAAAGAATCAATGCAAAAACACATTTGCGCCTTGCAAGTATCCCGTATTTGTGGTTCCCATTTGGATTTAGATATTGAACACCGTCTGGCCTTTTATACATCATTGAAATTGCATTATGAACATGGCCTTAGTAATTTTGGCAAAGATTTACTACCCACAGATATGGGTCCCTCGGATCCATATGCTCTATTGGCAGGTTAGTTATTTGCCTTTTTTTCGTAAAATTACATTTTAAAACATTTTCAAATACTTATCATTTTCAGCTAATGTTATGTACGACATAAGTCAACATGAACAAAAATCCGATCGTATATTTGAGGGTCTATGCCTATTGCAATATGTGTTGCGCAACCGTACCAGTAACTTCCACGTTAAATTGTTAAGTCTCAAGATTTTCCATATGTTGGGCTGTCTTCTGGGTGCCCAGGAAATGTATGAATATTTGGAAATCAAACAAATACAACTGGACTCAATGGGTTATGTACACTGTAACCCCATGATTTTGGCCGGACGTTTTTCTATGGCCCGTTCGGTATATGATACAACATTGAAATTCTTTACGAACAGCTATAAAGAACGTCTCGAATATATAGCGTTGACATATCGTTTTTGTACTTTCTCCAAATTGGAAGAGTTTATGAATTTCAAGGAGCGCCTAACCAATAGTTTTCATTATGTGGCAATCTCTGTGGAGGCCCAACTTAGCGATTTGGTTATACTGTATGGCAATGTCCAACAAAATCTCAATACCTATATGATAATGTCCATAGATCCGGCCGAAGATCGTATATCATGGAATGAGCTGAGGGATAATCGTGATTTAACTGCCATGATACGTTGGGATCCAGTGCATTTGGTTGACACCGAACGCGAACGCAACGAATCGTTTAAGCAAGAAGTGGAAATATTGCACATACGCTCATTGATGTTACGTTTGGTGGCCTCGTTCGTTGATCTATTCCATCCCAATCTGAGTGTCAAATATTGTCGAGCAGCAGCAGCAGCCGGTCCCAACTTACAGGAACTGAAAGATGCTCTGCCCGGTGGTGCCAAAGATACTGCCATTATTGAATCCTTGCGTGATTCTTGGCTGGAGTTATTCAAACGTCTGCGGGCGGCCGATGATTTGAACCCCTTGCCAAATCGTTTCCTAGTCGATTTATTACCAACACGTTTGCATTTACTTTTACAAATGCCCTATGAGAAATTCTTTAGTGATTTAGCACAATTGGTCATAGAAATGTATGTGGGCAATAACAACTTACCGCTGCAATGCAAAGTGGTATCCGACAATGCGGTAGAAGTGGTAAATTGCATTGATGCCATTATTAAGGAAAGTAATGCCGCCACCACAGATGGTCTGTGGCGAAGGCGTGAATGGCAGAGTAAAGTTGGTGCTTGTTTGGAGGTGAGTTGAGATTTCATACGTTTTTCTTTTTTGTTTTTATGCCCTCCACCATATTATATATATATATATATATATATATTCTTGATCAGCATAAAATTCTATGTCGATTTAGCGATGTCCGTCCGTCTGTGGAAATCACTCTAACTTCCGAACGAATTGAAGTAGGTTAATAAAATTTTACTCAAATGTATATTATGTCTGCAGGACTTTTGGTATTAAAAATGGGACATGTAGTTCCACGTTTTGGTATAGCCCCCATATAATGGAACCTCCTTGTTTTCAATATTTTGGTGATTTAAGCGACATTATTCACCAGAATAGTTTCAAATTTGGTATTTGAAGTTCGCAATGGATACCACAGCCTATGACAGAAAATTGTCCGTGCTACTCCCCGCCTTCGTATAGCTCTCATATAATGGCACCACCCGATATTCGGTATTTTGATGATTTTAGCGACATTATTTACCGGAATTGTTTCAAATTTGGTATTTGAAGTTCGAAATGGATACTACAGCCTATGACAGAAAATTATCTGTGCAGGTCCACGTCTTCGTATAGCCCCCATATAATGGTACCTCCCTATATTCGGTATTTTGATGATTTTACCCACATTATTTACCGGAATTGTTTCAAATTTGGTATTAAAAGTTCGTAATGGATACCACAGCCTATGGCATAAAATTGTCCGTGCAGGTCCACATCTTCGTATGGTCCCCATATAATGGTAATTCCCGATATTTGGTATTTTGATGATTTTAGCGACATTATTCGCCGGAATTGTTTCAAATTTGGTATTTAAAGTTCGTAATGGATACCACAGCCTATGACAGAAAATTGTCTGTGCAGGTCCACGTCTTCATATGGCCCCATATAACGGCTTCTCCCGATATTCGGTATTTTGATGATTTTAGCTACATTTTTTACCGATTTTTTTAAGTTTCGCATTTGAATATTGTTGAATAAAGTTGTCTATGCATTCAATATTTTTAAGATTTTAACAGAATTCTTAACGAATTTTATTTATTTATTTATTTTTTTAATTGCCAAATTCGTTCCAAATGTTGGGGAGTATTCAAAGTTCGGCCAGGCCGAACTTAGAGCTGTTTTACTTGTTCTTTACTGCAATTAAAATGTTATTGAATTCTTCCAGATGATATCCCTCTATGCCTTTGTGCTGCAAGCCATCTATGAGAAGCTACAGGTTTCCATGAAAACCAAACAGAAAAGGAAACCCAATGCCGACGGCACAGAACAAATAATGAATGAAAAGGAACGCTGTCAACTGACTCTAGAGTTGATGCGCCAATTGAAAATTGAATTCCAACGTTGTGATAAATGTTTACGTATGTATAAGTGCCGGTTACTATATGTCGATACGAAATTGGATTCAAAAGAAAAGAACATATTCCAATTTTTTCGATTTTTTTTTGTGAATTTATAAATTTAATATACCTATTTGGAATTGTGTTTTTCTTTCGCATTCACTGTCGTATCGACATTCAATTGAAGTTACAGCCCTTTAATCTCCATTGGTAAATTCTAAAATATTTTTGTTTCAATATTTTCAGTTAATTGGAATACTCCTGCACTGCCACGTAATTTAAATTCTTTTATGGCCGATATGTCATTGAAACCCGAAACGGAGGCAATACTTATTGGTGATGTTGCATCGACATTCAAGGAATCACACGATTTTATGATAACCGAACTAAGAAATCTGCTAAAGGACAAAATACGCATGGTTAGCAAGTAAATGGCTGTGTCAGTTTAGTCAGTCAGAGCATGTACATGTGTGTACTGTTAGCTTAAGCGCCTTTAAAGCTAGTTTGGTCTAATCTAAATAATTCACCGTCATAATATTACTTTATTCACAACACAACTAATGTGTGTGTGCGTGTGTTAAACGTATAACGTTTATTTCCCTCGGTATGAGGAGGGTACGTACCAATATGCTAACTGACAATTTACCAACTTGAGCTGTTATTGTGAAATAATAATAATAATAATCATTTTTAAAACATCAAGGAAAAAAACTTCTACAATCAATATCCATTCATATATACTTATAAAGAGAACAAGAAAATAAAACAAGAAATTTTTGCTGTGCAAATTCACCTTTTTTCTAATTTAATTATATTTGTATTCAAACCGATAAAGACATAATTGTGCAAATAGAAAATCATGAAGAATAGTCGAAATAATATCATGGTTTACAAAAACAAAAAAAAAACAAAATTTAAAGTGTTTTATAAATCAATATAACCATCAATAATAAACTAATGAACAACAAGAAAGAAAAATATATTTTAAATTTTTGGCTAATTCAATAAAAAAGACAAAATACTTTTAATATTAATTCAATACATTTGAAATATTTATTTATACACAAAGTGTCGTAATGAAGGAGTTAGCAACTCCTTTGGAGACTAATACATTCTCTCAGATCCCAGGACATAGCTGTCTGTCTGTCCTGCTGGCCGGGTGCGCACAATAACTCTCGAAAGGAGTATCCGATTTGATCCAAACTTGGTTTATCGTAATAGAATTATCAAACTTAGATCGAGTTCGGAGATGCGCAATATTGGTCCACTCCTTCCGGTACCTCCCCCACAAGTTGTCAACATTTTCAAAGAAAAAAATTTACTGCACAGAAAAAAAAAGGATAATCCGATTTTGCTCCAACTTCCTAATATTTGCATTAGTGCTAGGTCAGGTGTGAAAATGGACAATATCGGTCCACTCCATCCAGTACCTCCCCCATAAAGGGTCAAGTTTTTGAGTAATTATGACTCCTATAAAATGTGATGTAAGTGTCCGATTGTCTTCAAACTACACACATTACAACATTTTTATTAACCTAAGGTTTGGTGTGAAGATGGGCAATATAGGGTCACCCCTTACGGTACCTCCCCCACAAAGGTTCAAAATTTTGAGTATCCATGAAGATCATAAAAAGGGAAATTAACATCCGATTCCATTCAAACTTGGTCAATTTAAATATTTCAATCAACACAAGATCTGTTACAAAAATGGTCAAAGTTTTGAATAACAAAAAAGATCATAAAATCCGAAATAAGCATCCGGTTCTCTTCAAATTACACACATCACAATATTTTTATTAACCCAAAGTCTAGTGTGATGATGGAATATATCGGTCCACTCCTTCTGGTACCTCCCCCACAAAGGATCAACATTTTGAATATCATTGACCCTTACAAAACTCGAAATTAAAATTTCGAAGATTCCATTCGGACTTTGTAAATTTTAATATTTCAATTAACACAAGAACTCTTAAAATTATGGTAGAGATCGAACAATTCCTTCTGGTACCTCCCCCACAAAGATTCAAAGTTTTGAATAAAAAATCCATCATAAAATCCGAGATAAGCACCCGCTTCTCTACAATTACACACTTCACAATATTTTTATTAACCTAAGGTCTGGCGTGAAGATGGGATATATCGGTCCACCCCTTCTGGTACCTCTCCCACAAAGGGTCAACATTTTGATTATCTATGAATTACCATCCGATTCCATTCAGCCTTGGTACATCTCAATATATCCATCAACACAAGATCTGTTATAAAGATGGTACAGATCGGACCATTCCTTCTGGTACCTCCCCCACATAGGACTCAAGATTTTGAAAAACAAAACGCGCAAAGAAAGCGAAAAGATCATCCAACCCTCTTCAAATTTCACACATCCAAATATTTTTGCTAACGCAGGATCTATTATGAAGATGATATATATCTGCAAACACCTTTTGGTACCTAACCCACAAAAAGTCTCAATTTGCAATACTTTAATCTGTCATAACTTGCGAAACAAGTCAGCAATTCTTTACAACTAGCTGTATCTTAAAAATTCCACAAATCTGAGATGAATATGGAATTTTTATTTCGCGTAATTTGGATATTGTAATGTTATCCATACCAATATTTGTATCTGTATTAGATGAAGTATGAAAATGAAGTACTTCGGTTCGCTATATCTGTAAATTCACGCATATTTCCAAATTTTCTAAAAATTTGATATCTCATATAGAGTATAGGAAGTAGACGATATAGGCCAAATCTGGCACGTTTTACTATTTATATCAGTCTTTGGTCAGATACGAATAGGTCAATATTAGCCAACTTCGGAACCTGTCTCATAAAAGGTCAACAGTTTGAATAATCATAATTCAAGGCTGGGGGTATACATCTGTCGACAAAACCGACTGATACTATTTTGCTTGTTTCGTCCTCGATTCTTAAAGAGAACGTATTGTGCTCTTACTGCCTACAAAAAGCCCTCACAACACTCTGCATTTGTTCTAGTGTCCAAATAATTAAAAAAGGTCCTTGTCTTATATGCGAAAAATCAATTTATGTGGCGTAGTTCCTCCCGTTCCGCTCCCGAATTTATGCAATTTTATGAACACCAATTAATAAATGATATTCCATTTTTCATTTCCTTTTCTGATTTTATTACTTTGGGAAATTTATTTCAATTCCAAAAAAACAACAACCGCAGCTTCTAAAACATGAAACAAACCAATTTAAATTTGGTCAAGTACTGCCTCATCCCATTCTTTAAAAATTGTTGAACAATTGGCACACTGATGCTAGAGAAAGTAGGTGAATTGGAGTCAGTAGTTCGCCAATTTAAAGTGAGCCTTCATGATTAACTCTCTGAGGTGTCCATATTCCTAGGGTCCTTCCTGTGCCACTCTATATTTTCGTAACCATTGAGTATTTAGCTTTTAACCTTTGGAAAAGTTTGGGTGCGTCGCAAGTAACTCCCAAGGTGTCTCTGTTTTTAATACTCACCTAACGCCTTTTTAGAGTTCTCACCTGATGCTCAACCACGGAAATACATGCTTGTAATTTTCTATTATTAATTCTCTGCACTTCTGCGCCGCCGCATGACAACAATGCCAAAGAAAATAGCCATGTAAAACGAGATAATAAATAAAATCTAAAAACAATTTTATTTAATAATAATTATCACAGCCAGACGAAAATATTTTCTTTTAAACTGATTCATTTATGGAAGCCAGGGATCCATCAATATGGGCGTCACCTTCGATCCGTTTTATACGTTGTATCAATATTTTTGATTTTGGATCATTCGAATGAAATAACGTTTCCAAATGGGCTCTTAAATGATGGGAGCGAGAGAAACGTCTACCACACAGTTCACAGCTACAAAATTGAGGAAGAAAACATAATTAGAAAGAAATTTGATTTTTGAAAGATAAACGTACTATTTTGGCATACAGTTGAAGATTGATTACCAATATCATAGTTAATGAAACCAAATAATTATATATTGTAGTGGAACTTTTGTAAGTTGTTAAAAGTGGAATAAAAGTTAAAAAGTATCAGTTAAGTAAATCGAACGTCTTTATCCAATTTTATGCGAAATTATAAATTAAATATTTATCTAAGTTTTCTGGTTGAGAGAAATATTTAGATATTGCAAGTTGTAAAGAATCGTTGACTTGTTTGGCAAGTTTTGACAGATAAATGTGTTGAAAATTGTAACCCATGGTGGGTGAAGGGTTCGCAGATAAACATCATCTACAAAACAGATATTTTGCTAGCAAAAATGTTTGCATGTGTGAAATTTGAAGAGAGATGGATGCTTATTTTGCTTTCTTAGAGCGTGTGGGGGAGATACCAGAAGTCATGATCCGATCTCTATCATCTTTATAACAGATCTTGTGTTGATAGAAATATTGAGATTTACCAAGTCTGTATGGAATCGCGTTTAAGAGCTTCATGAATATTCAAAATTTTGACCCTTTGTGGGGAGGTACCAGAGGCAGTGGACGGATATATTCCATCTTCGCAGCAAATCTTGTGTTAGCGGACATAACGGCATGTGTCAAATATGAAAGGAAACGAATGCTTATTTCGGATTTAATAATTTTTTTTTATACGAAAGTGTGACCCTTTGTGGGGGATGTACCGGAAGGAATGGTACGATCTCTACCATCTTTATAACAGATCTTGTGTTGATGGAAATATTGAGATGTACCAAGTCAAAATGGAATCGGATTTTAATTTCGTGTTTTATGAGCGTAGTGGATATTCCAAATGTTGATCCTTTGTGGGGGAGGTACCTGAAGGAGTGTACCGATACATCGCAAATAATAATATGATGTGAAGAAAACCGGAGGCTTTTTTGTGGCCTTTATGATCGTTTTGGTTATTCAAAATTCTGCCCCTTTGTGGGGGAGGTACTAGGAGAAACGGACCGATCTCTATCATCTTTATAACAGATCTTGTGTTGTTGGAAATATTAAGATATACCAAGCCTGAAAGCAATCGGATATTTTGGATATTCAAAATGTTGACCCCTTGTCGGGGAAGTACTAGAAGGAGTGGACCGATATATTCAATCTTCACGTCAGACTTTGGTTTAATAAAAGTATTGTGATGTGTGTAATTTGAAGATAATCGGACTGTTATTTCACATTTTATAAGAATTATAATTATTTAAAATTTTGACGTTTGAGGGGGAGGTACTTGATGGAGTGTGCCGATATTGTCCATTTTTCCACCCGACCTAGAACTGATGCAAATATTACAATTTGCAAAATTGGAGCAAAGTCTGATTATCCTTTCTCTTTCTGTGCAGTAAATTATTTTCTTTGAAAATTTCGGCCTTTCTGGGGGAGGTACCAAAAGGAGTGGGCCAATATTGCCCATCTCCGGACTCGATGTATGTTTCATAGTAATATTACGATGTACCAAGTTTGGACCAAATTGGATACTCTTTTCGAGAGTTATCGTACGCACCACCCAGCCAGACAGGGAGACGGGCGGACGGACATCGCTAGGTTGTCGACAAATGTCCTGAAACGGATTTGGTCCAAAGAGACCTAGGGTCTAAAACCATTATTTCGATGAGGCACATTTTGACCGTATCAAGTGATATATACCCTCTCTAACCATATGGCTGAGGGTATAATTATGTGTTTAGAATTTTGATAGTTTACAAGAAAGTTGTTGATGCATCACTCTGATGCATCCATTTCGAAATTCTATGACATTAATGGATTTTGGCATTCAATCAAAAATCAGCTGTATCGCGCGTCTTACTTGTAAGGTTTTTCTCCGGTATGCGTTAGCTGATGAACTTTAAGGACGCTGGAGTAAGTAAAGTTTTTACCACATGTCTTACATGTATACGGACGCTCATTGCGATGGATTCTATAAGTGAAGAAAATATAATTTTCTGAATCAAAATCATACTCACGGGAACATTTGAATCATGTATTTACCTTTCATGTTTCGTTAGCGTTGAATTGTCGCCAAAAGTACGCTTACAATATTTGCATTCATATGGTCGCAGGCCGGTATGCTTACGTATATGTCGTGACAATTCAAAATTACTATGGAAAGCTTGTCCACATATCCTGAAAAGTGAAAACAATCATATTATTTCGTAGAGATTATGGTCAATGAGACATTTAAAAAATGTAGATTTATTCAGCGATTTAAATACATACTCGCATTCAAATGCTTTTACATCGTGATGTCGACGAATGTGAGCTTGCAATTCATAGCGACGACCGTAAGCATTTCCACATATTTCACAGACATGAGACTTCTTCAAGTTTTGTCCATTATGACTCTTCATTTTCTGCTCTATAACAGCAGTGCCATCCGAAGATATGGCAAGAATTTTAGCAGGCACATTTCTGGCAGTATCGATTTCCATGTTCTCAGGGACTGAATTTTGAGATTCGTGTGGTATTGTATTCTTTGAATAAGCTTCCAATGCGGAGGTCTTGGAATTTGCACCCAGCTGTTCGTATTCTTTATGACACTTCGTCAGAATTTGGCCAGAAATTGATTTCTGCATTTCTTCCACAGAAATGGAATTTTCTTTAGACTGGCTTGTAGGCTCTTGTTGCTCTTCGGATATGTGATTACATTCTTCAAATCCACTAGAGTCCACCTCCACATCATCCGTCATTATTTCCAGCACATATTCTTCAAGATATTTTTGAGAATTTCGACAAATTGATGCAAACTTATTGGCAATATTTAAAAAGGTAAGGCAATTTTTGCATATTAAGGATGGTAACTTATGATGTTTTTGGATCTAAACGACAAAACTTTTATTACGTGATCTAGGTAATATGAGCGAACACCTTATTATTATAATTCGAATACCTTTATTCCGGTACAATTTTGAATTCTATCACAGATGGACAGCTCACCATCAGCCTTATCATCTGGTTGCTGAAAGATTGGAAACATTGGACAAGGACTTGCCGCATTTTCTTCCTGAATTTGCAAACAAATTCGACAGGCTAATATTGAGAAATCGTTGGCTGTTGGATCACGAGAATTGGGGTTGGATGTATCATCTTCTGTTGCACTGCATTGATTAGGGGTATTTGGTGGATTATCTCCAACAGGAGGAAGAGGTTCAACAACATCCATTTAGACCGACCAGCCACCAAGGAACAAGGAACTTAATGTTTAGAAAGACGAAAACAAAACAAAAAGTAAAACTCGATGCTTCTTCTTAAAAAATCTAATCTATTCAAACTGCATTGGTATGTCGGATATCAAACATCAATGCATACCTGCCTGTTAATGCAAGAAACTTAAGTAGAGTACACACTCTTTATTATGCCTTATTTATGCTTTAAACATCTTATAAACATGTAAATGTAAAGTTGAGATGGGATTCCAGTCCAAATAAATTTCACAAACAAATACAAAGTAGAGGGTACGCTTATTTGTTTGGGAAATATCCCAGAGGAAAATATATGAAGACCCATCTGAAAACCAAATAATTAAAAAAGTATTTAAATTAAATAAACCATGGTTTGCGTAGCCGGTCTTTGACATATCCCACAAAATGGAATTTTAGGCCAGGACGAAGTTCGTCTACTTAAAAAAAATATAAAATTTAAATAAACTGATTCGCGCAGGCGGTGTTAGGCATATCTATGTTACAATAAAAAGGTAAGTTAGAGCTACCAACTGATTACAATATTTTTTCTAAATGAGCCCGACTTCTGCCCATTTTGTGTGTATTGTATTGCTTAAAAAAAACAAAATAATTTAAAAATCAATGATTTGAAGAAAAATACATTACTGGGAGCCCATTAAAGTTATTCTGCAGTTTTACTTTGGTATTGAAGAATCGAAAACTTAAGATAATAACCGGGAAAACTTCATAAAAGATCAAAATTTCTTTTTAAAATCATGTTCTATATGTCTGTAAAGGTTTATTTCGCAATTTGCACACCCAAGGCAAAATAGTAATTTGATAATAAACGGACATCAAATAAAACATTTTATATGTTCTTTTTTTGAAAACTTTCGTGTGCCCATTTTGTGTGTATTGTATTGCTTAAAAAAAACAAAATAATTTAAAAATCAATGATTTGAAGAAAAATACATTACTGGGAGCCCATTAAAGTTATTCTGCAGTTTTACTTTGGTATTGAAGAATCGAACACTTAAGATAATAACCGCGAAAACTTCATAAAAGATCAAAATTTCTTTTTAAAATCATGTTCTATATGTCTGTAAAGGTTTATTTCGCAATTTGCACACCCAAGGCAAAATAGTAATTTGATAATAAACGGACATCAAATAAAACATTTTATATGTTCTTTTTTTGAAAACTTTCGTATATCCATGGTAGAAGAATATAGGTAGACGCGTCGACACAGCTGCTGGGACAATGAACTGTCAAACCAATTTTGGAATTGAAAATGTTGAATGAAAAGTTATTTAAATTTGTAAAAATTGTTGAAAAACGCGAATTATAATAGCCTCCGAATGACGTAGTATAAGAAAACATATAAAATTCTACTTATATTTGAAAAAACATTTACATTTTTTTGACATATCAATGCTCCCAAGCGTTGATGCATCTACCTGTATTCTTCTGCCATGCGTATATCTCTTAAAATCCCCTTTTTATCAAGTTTTCGCTTCAAAAACTTGAAATGGCTACTGCTTCAAATGGGTTGTTTCCGATTTAGTGTGCCCTGTTTATTTGTGTTTGTTATACCCTACAACACTATAGTTGTGTTCCAGAACCTACAAATTTGTACTAATTAGTGCTAATTCTGCTACAACGCGTTCCCGTACTCCAAAAACTAGCAAAACTTGCAGCTCTCTCGAGAAAAAAATGGCGCTGAGTGGTGCACATTTCTGCTTGTTTTAGCTACATGAATTTGGCCGAGCAGAAATGTGCAAATTGTAAATTTGACATTTAATTGGCAGGGCTTACAAGGTTGAAAATGTATTGATACATTTCAATGTTCGCGCGTGACAACAAATGTAAAGAAAAAAGATAAATTAAAAAACTACAGAAAAACTAATATTTGTCGTGCAAAAAACAAAAGCAGAAAATATGGAGCAACTGATGTATTCACTTTTCGAAAAATTAAGCTTAAAATCAAAGATTTTCGCTTATTACTACGAACATTTTCTTTTTATTTTTTAGGTTGGTAGTCTTCCCAACTTGTGGCATTAAGTCTTCTAGCAGATTTAACATTAACTAAACCGGCGGCTCCAATGATGTTAGCTGCTCCGGCTCCGACTCTTCAACGCATTCTGAAAACAAAACTTTCTAAATAAACAGCATTCAAAAAAGAACTCTAGTTTAGTAAAAACTCTTAGATTTTTTCGAAATTTTTTCCAGAGGTAGGTATTTTTACACTGATCCCGGGAAACTATTTTTTTCTTGGGGGACGGACCCGGGACCCCAGATTTTTGACCCAAAAGTCCGGGATCAAGACCCCGCCTGGACCCGGATCCACTTACCCGATATGGGTATCGATTGAAAGCTTATGGAAATACCTATCCAACAAGTGGTCACATGAAGGGGTTGTAACAACCGTGTTCAAGAAAAACGAAATGAAATCGCTGTGTTGACCATTAAGTGGCGTTGCCGGTATGCTGGCGTTTAGCGCGGCTATGGCTCGTCGGATTGGGGCACGGACGGACGGAAAGTTTTGGAGCTGCAGAAATGATAAAATTTTGGGTAAGTAGAGTGAAACAAAATTATAGTGAATTATAAATTAATTATAATAAAATAAATGTACATGCCGTGTAAGTGAAAATAACGTGTATAATTAAAGTGAAAAGTGAATAAGTGCCGAAAAAAAATGAATGAAAGTTACTATCATAAACATACAGTGCGGGTGTATGTGCGAATAGTAACTTGCAAATAATTGCATGAAAAAAATTAATCCGTATAAATCTTTAGAAAATATTAAAGAAAATTAAAAGAATAAAAGGAAATATGATAAAAAAGTGGTTTTAATGAAACAAATTCAATCAATTTCCTAAAAATATTTAAATATTCTAACCAAAGAAAATTAATGATTTCCCTCCAGTGTGTGTGTGTAAATAAAAGTTGCATTTGCATTTACAATGAAAAAATGCACTCATTAAGAAAAAATGTGACTTTGGCGGAAACAATAAGTTCGAAATATAATTCGAAGTTAGTGAGTAGTGAATAAAAATGGAACAGATAAAGAAAACAGAATTAAGGAATGATTGAAAAGTGCGAATAAAATTAAAATAGATAATATCGCCAAAAGAAAAGAAAAATTGAAATGGTGAAAACAAAACAAAATGCACAAATTAACAAAGTCGTGGACCAAAGAGATAAAGTGCAAAAAAAACTAATGAATGATTACTATTGGAAACACAGGAAATATTAAAGGAGATGAATTAAAATTTAGTGGAAAATAGTGAGAAATTTAGAATTGATCGGACGGACGTAATTTTTTTTGTGAAAATAGTGTGTTTATTTTTTAATGACGAAAAGTGCAAAGAATTTAAACGAAATAAATAATGAAAAAGTTGCATGATTAAAAAAAATAATTAAGGCATAAAAAGTGATTTTACTAGTTAAAAACGGTGCAAATCAATATCTAAAAAAAATTAATAAAAAAGTTAAAGTGAATGAAATTGAAATGCTATTGTGAATTAATTGAAAATAAAATATTCAAGAATTGGGCTTCAGTAAATTTAATATGACAAATTATGTGAAATGTTTTGAATTTTGATGAAAGTATTAAACTGAATGAAAATTTAATATTGATAAACTGAGAAAGTTATCCAAATCGGACGGACATATTCGGTGTGATTGTCTAAAAATAAAATTTTTTACCATATTCGTTCTAAATTATATTTTGATTTTAACTTAAAGTTTCCTCTTTTTCACAGATAACTAATACTTTCTCTTTCTGTTCTTATCTTTTCAGATTGGTGACTGCCTACGTTTGGATTAAACGAAAGGTAAGATTGAGACCTGATATTTTCTTTTTCTGTAGGGTACCCTCAACTGGGTCCACACTTTGGTCAGATTGTTGGATACGATATTATTTCAAATGCATTTAGATGTGTTTGATCGTGTCTTCCCGCTTCCAGACTCTAACGTCGTAAATCGATGACTGACAGCTCTGCGACATTGTATACAACACTCTTCTGCCTTGTGCCATAGTTGCGTATGGGAATATAAAGGAAGAGTGCACAAATGGTCAAGGACAGTCACAACGTGACTGCTCAGGAATCGTAGACATATGGTTAGAGTCGGTAAATCTGGGATGCTTCCTTTCGTAATCCAACGGATTCTTTCTGACCACTGCTGCTGGTGTCTAGACGAGTGGCCTCCTATGGTTACATGAAAAAAAAATTGTCCATGGTCTCAATAATCAAAAGACATCTAGAGAAGTTACTCAAATTGAATATTGCATTCACAAAAAGGTAAGTAAAAATAGAAATGCCAATAATTTAATAAGAAAAATAGTAATATGTTATTTTTTTTTTTAATCTTCCAGACAAATATTACCTATGAAATTTGCGTGTCCTTCAAAAACGGGAAATTATATTTGATGGTAAGTTCGATTAATCCTGTTCTCCTTTTTCTTTCTCCAGCAGGTGTACCATCGACTAGACCTTCAGCTTTTGTCAGAATGTCGGATACGTTTTGCAAATGCACTGAGGTGTATTTGTTCTTTTTGTCTCCTGGCTTCCAGACTCTAGTGTCGTAAGTCGGGTGAAGGACGGATCTGCGACCTCGTGTACAACAGTTCCCTGGCCCGTGCCAAAGAGCGAACGGCTACTGTTTCACCGCGAAAGGGGAATTGCACTAATGGTCAAAGACAGTCACCAGGTGACTGCTCCGGATGCGCAGACGTCAACTAGAGTCGGTAAACCCAGAGTGCTTTAATTCGTACTCTGACTTCACAATTCTGACATCTGCTGTTAGAGTCTAGAAGATTGGACGCCTGTTCGAATGGAAAAAAACAGGGTTCCGAACTTCACCAAATATTCTAGTCGAGACTTACAGCGGTCCTACTGACGGAGTTTCAAAATCAAACGTAAGATGTAGTTTTAATACAATTTCCTATTTTTGTAATTTTTCTCTGAAAAATTGAGAAATATTATGAGAGCTATATTTTTTTTATAAACTTAAATTTTATATTTCATAACCAAAAATTAGCTAAAAAAAAAAACTTTGTAAGTATGGCTTGAGATGGACATTTCAAATTTAATTTTATTTTTAAGTTGTTCATTTTATTTATTAATTAGAAGAAAAATTAAATTCTTCAATTCGTAAGCATTTATTGCTTCAAATCCTTAGCGTGAAAAATGCCAATGGGATGTCCTTTAAGATCTTCTACTTCGTAAAGGCATTTCCCAACTGGTTTAACAATGCGACACTTGAAAAATTTTTTTTATCAAGTTTAGCATTATAATTATTTTTAAAATCGCTTTGCCTGAAACTTCTCCGAAACACTTCTTGCCCTGGGATGAACTTGACCTGACGACTTCTAAGGTTATAAGACTTTTCATTTCTCAAGTATGCCTGGTGCAGACTATTTCTTATCTTTTCTCGAATAAGATTCTGTTTTACCGAGTTTGGAATGAGTGTCGTCTCGGGGTCATTAAGAAGTTCAAGTTTCCTGGCTAATTTATAAAGACTGGCATGATTTATCATATTGACTCCAAAGAGCGCAAAATAAGGGGTAGTTCCGATGGAACTATGGACAGAAGATCGCAGAGAACATTCTATCTCTGATAAATTTTGATCCCATTCTCGGTGATCTTCTCCCAGATATGCTCGAATCGCTGATAAAATATATTGATTTACCCGCTCCGAGGCATTTGCTTGCGGAGAGTGAAACGCAGTTTTGGTGTGGTTTATACCAAAGAGTTTAATCATATCTGAAAATTCTTTGCTAATAAATTGTTTCCCATTATCAGACACAATTACTTCTGGGTTCCAAATTTATGGAATACTTCACTAATTAAAAACTTTACTATATTTCTTGAATTTGCTTTGGCCATGGCTTTTAGCAAAACGTATTTCGAAAGGTGATCTACCACAATGAAAATAAAACTGTTTCCCGTTTTGGTTCTGGGATAAGGACCTAAGAAGTCGACATAAATTCGTTGAAAAGGTCTTTCTGTAATAGTCTCGGCTCCCATAGATGGACGAAGAGTCGAATTGGCTGGTTTTGTCTCTTTACAAATATCACAATTTTGTACAAAATTTCTAACTTGAGTATTCATATTTGGCCAGAAAAAGTACTCTTTTACTCTACGGAGAGTTTTGTGGAAACCTCCATGAGAAACTTGTGGTGGACAGTGTGCTTTTTCAATGATTTGCTGGGTCAATTCGCTGGGTACCCATAACTTCCAAGCGAAATCTTCATTAAGGGGTATTCCGTCGTAGAATTGAGTTCGTTTATATACCAAACCATCAACAACTTTTAAATCGGGAAGTTGTGAAGAATTATTTTTGATGGTTTCTATTAAGGCTAAATAATCGTCTGCTTTAAAAGCTAAGGAATCGAGATCGATTAGGGCCTTCACATCTAGCGAAATCTCCTCCATATCATACCTTGACAAAGTATCAGGTACTATGTTCTGGGTTCCTTTACGATTCTCTATTTCAAAACAATATGCCTGCAACTGTAGGCTCCATCTAGCTAACCTTCCGCTCAGATCTCGATGTGACATGAGCCATTTTAAACTACTAAGGTCAGTTATAACTGTGAAAGGCATCAATTCTATATATGGCCTGAATTTTTTAATGGCCATCACTACTGCCAAACACTCCCTCTCAGTCACCGAGTAATTTTTCTGAGCAGAAGTCAGCTTTTGCGAAAAATAAGCAATGGGATGCTCTCCACCCTCATCGTCTCTCTGAAATAATACTGCTCCTATTCCCAAGTCTGATGCATCGCTCTGAACATAGAAGTGTCTGTTAAAGTCTGGGTGTGTCAGGACAGGACTACTTACAAGTGCTTGTTTCAATTTGTCAAATGCAACCTTGGCCTCCTTTGTGAACGTGAATCGTTTTCCTTTCTTGAGGGTTTCAAAGATGGGAGCCGCAATAGTGGCAAAGTCGGCAATGAACCTTCGATACCACCCTGCCGTACCCATGAAACTCCTCACTTGCTTTGCTGTTTTCGGGTATGTAAACTTCACTATTGTTTCCACCTTTGCCGGGTCAGTTTTAAGTTTGCCACCTCCAACAATGTAACCCAAGTATCTAAGCTCTTTGAAGCAGAACTTCGACTTGGTTACATTTATTGTGAGTCCTGCTTTAGCCAAACAACCTGCCACCTGCTCTAACAATCCCAGGTGAGTGTCGAAGTCTGGCGAAACAACCAAAAGATCATCCAAGTAGACGAAAACTCTATCACGTAGTGCGCCAGGGATCACTTTATCCATTAAACGGCATAACCTTTGGGCTGCATTGCACAGACCAAAGGGCATGACGGTAAAATGGTAAAGCGGTCGTCCAGGCACTGTGAATGCAGTTTTCTCTCTACTTGAAGGATCCAGTGGAATTTGCCAGAACGCATCCTTCAGGTCGACACTAGAAATGAAATAGGTATCCCCCAGCCGACTGAGCAAACCTTCTATATGCGGCAATGGATAGGCGTCCTTGACCGTCAGTGCATTGAGTTTGCGAGCGTCCAGGCACAAACGGTTCTTTTCGCCCCTTCGGACTAGAGTAACCGGATGACTCAATGGACTTCCGCTCTCTTCAATAACACCTAGGTCTAGCATCCTATCCAATTCCGCATATATAAGTTTCTGCACAGCCGGGGAAACGGGATAATGCCTATCTTTCACCGGGGTTGCATCGCGGGTGTCGATTGAATGGACCTCAGCTTTAGTCTTTCCCAAGCCATACTTGGTAAAGCAAGGAAATTTGTCCTTCACTATTTGCAAACGAACTCGTTGCTCCTCGGACAAAGAATGGCTGTTAACATCACTGATCTCAGGCTCACCACAGAGACTCACTTCCTGGAGTGACAAACCGTCCACCTGAGCAAACATTTGGAAACGTTTCATGAAGTCTACCCCCAGAAACAACTCCCGACTCAGAGAAGGAACAAGATACAGGACGATAGAATGCTCCTGCTTCCTAAATTTTACATTAGTCGTCACCCTACCAACTATTTTATGTGGGCTTCCATCTGCGGTTTTAATAAAAGAATGGAAATGCTTGATTTCCAATCCCGCTCTCTCCACAAAACTAAGGTAATTTTTCCCCAGACAGGAAACGGAGGCTCCGCTATCTAGCAATCCCTCTATCTCTTCACCATTTACATGTAATTTTGTATATAGCCGATTATCTTCCCCTTCAAATATGGTAGCCGAGGCTATCTCCTGCCGAATGCGTCTTCTCTTCTTATATCGTTCTCTAGCCTTTTTAATTTTATTGGAAACTTGACCAAAAATTCTTTCTCTCGCCTCGCAATATTCTCTTATTCGGATATGAAGCGGTTTCAACTCTCTCAATCTCGGTTTTACTTCTGACTTTCTACTTTCTTGCTCTACATTCTTCAAAATAGAAACTTTAATACTGGAACTACTACTACTCTGCTCTGGGCTTAAACTGGGGTTGACCTCACCTGCCCAGACTGAGGTGGGTTCCTGTGCCGGTTTCCCTGACACTTCGGACAATCGGGGACGGTAACACCTTCTTGGCCACACCTATAGCAGAAAATCTTTCGAGGCTCCCGGCACTCCATCCAGCTATGACCTATAACACCGCAGTTCCAACATTTATACTTGGACGTCATGGTCACGGCATCAACTTCAATTTCACCTCGGGGTTCCTCTTCCGTCTGCCAATCGAGCTCGTGCACTTTCTGCGGTGTGTGGTATCGCTGCTGTCTTTGGGTCCATACAAGATTTTCGGCTTTCTTCACCTGCCTATAAAAATCACCCAAGCTATTTATCTGAGCCGAGAAGATCATTTGGGCTAAAGACGGCTTAAGGTTGCCTCTCATTATTTCCACTATCTCGTGCTCCCTGTATGGCGACTTTTGCTGTGTCCGTAGCCGCAGTACATCATTATAAAAATTTTCAAAATTCTCGTGTGGTAGTTGACGCCGATTTAAAATCTGCATTTGAAGCTGGAATTCATTTTCAAATCTTTGGTATTGCGCCAACAAAGCACTTTACAACTCCTTCCATGTGCGAAACTGGACCAATTTCCTGTGGTTCCAATACCAATCGAGAGCTGGCTTTTCCAAAAGTTGGTGAAATTTGGTAATCAATACCTCATCTGGGCAATTATAATCTTTTTTAAGTTCATCCACTCTGAAGATGAATTCTTGGACGCTCATGGTTTTGTCGGTACCATCAAAAGATACTCCCCAATTCGCCAAATTAAAACGCCCGGAGATTTCTGAGACGATACTGCTTGGATGTGGACTGGTATGTGTCTCGTGTGGCTCTGTCCGCATGCCTCTGCTGTACGTATTAGGCAACCTCTCGGTCGGCAGTATTGGGTGAGTTTGGACTCCGGCGACTGGTGGTGGTACCGATAAGCTGGTTGGTGGTTGTGCTGGTGCACCACTTGATGAATCCTGGTGGCGGTTGGTTAAAGGGACCAAGTGACAATGGTCTAGGATCGTGAATCGGTGGTGGATTTACTCGCTCCGGATTTGGTAGTGTGTAACCCCTTGCTAAATTAGGCTGCTGAGACGTTAAGCCTGACGCCAATGCATGTGAAGACAGAATGACTTACTCCAAGGATGTGCGCGCTGGTGCCGCTGCTGGCATCGCCAAGCCGGCTTGTGAAAATAACTGATTAGTGCCGTCATTGTATCCCAACAACGAACGCATGGCCGCTTCAGAAATTCGAGGTATCAGAGCTCTCAATCTTTCTTCTTCCTGTTGACGGTACTGCAATTGGGACAGGGCGATGGCAGAATTAATAATTTCCCTGACTCCTGCGCTGACTGCTGGATCTGCTGGCGGGACAACTGGTCTATTCTGCAACCCGGTCAAAACACTATAGTTTGGCGAGGCAACGCTTCCATGTGACCAAAAAGACGTGCTAAACGAGTTGGCGGCCTCTTGCATGCTTAATGGAACTGGTGGCGGTGCCGATGAATTGGACATTGATGATGAAACACCTTGAGCTGGGACGTCCCCATGTGCTAAATGTGCAATATGCGAAGCAATGGGACCACTATGCGCGGCAGTTGTAACTTGTTGTGCGTTAGAAGGTGCGCTGTGAACCGCGGTAACAACACTGCTTACGGCTGTAGCTTCGGAAGTGGTTACCACCCCATTTTGCCCTAATATCGGTCTACCTGCCAAACTTGCACTCGCAGCTCTAGTAAGAGGCATATTGCTACTTGATCTAACAAAATTAGTAAACAAAAAACTCCGAAAAAGCGAAAAAAATCAAAATGAAGTCTGTCAAAAGATTTTGCTCGAAAGTAAACCACACGGTTTCAATTAAAGAAAAAATAAAATAAAAACAATTGTGGTAAGTAAAATAAAAAAATAAATTCAATGTAATTCAGTTCTTTCACAATTAATTCACACTTTTCACTTTTACAGGTTATTCTGTACGGCATACAAATTCTACTATCCGGCAGAATAATTTTGATGAAACAAACTGGAAAAATTCAAATACTGTTAGGTGGTGGATTTCTGGTCAAAATAGTGGTAAGTCAAGGTCAAATAAACTGTTTCTGTATGAATTTTAATATGTTTCACTTTTTACAGGGATTTGGTGAGTTACACTGGTAAAACTGTGGAATTTAAAACTAAAAATGAACTGCGAAAAATGGAATATGGAAAAGGCGGCTTGCACAGACATCCCTCAAGAAGTTCCATGACAATACGACCACTGGTCGGAAGCCAAAATTGTCGCAGGACCAATGGAAACTCTGGGTAAGTCTGTGATCAGCTACCAAATTCCGGGTACTGAAATTAAACATAGACGGACAGAAACTACAATCTAAAAAAAAAAAAAACAAATTCGTTTGAGACTAGCAATTCTCATTTGCATAGCAGCGCGTCACCTGCCTTCTTATAGGCTGCTTGGACGGGTCTCCACAAATGAGAACTGATAAACCAGACGAATTTCTTCAACGATATAACTTTAAGAAATCTGAAATTTTAACTTTACTAAAATATGAAAGTTTATTAAAATGCTAGTGCAATTAGGAGTATTAAACTAGAACGACTAAGCCACTAGAAAAAAAATAATAAAAATCATATTTTTCCCAAATATAAATGATGTTTACCCGAGTCTTCGATGAAGCAACGCGTCAGGGCTCTTAATTAAACCTAGACGGGACTCATTAAAGATTCATGGTAAACACATTTATACACTACGACTAAAAATTATTAAAAACTAACATGTCTCAGGCCCCACGTTGGGCGCCATTTGTAACAACCGTGTTCAAGAAAAACGAAATGAAATCGCTGTGTTGACCATTAAGTGGCGTTGCCGGTATGCTGGCGTTTAGCGCGGCTATGGCTCGTCGGATTGGGGGTTGGTTCTTGCCACTTGCAGATCTTTTGGTTGAACAAACAAAAAATTATACCGGACTTCAAACTAAATTAAAAAAAAGGGGGTAAAAAGAAGCCTGAAACATGTCAACAAAAAAAATTAAAAAGAAGAAAACGTTCACCTAACCGCAACCCCCAATCCGACGAGCCATAGCCGCGCTAAACGCCAGCATACCGGCAACGCCACTTAATGATCAACACAGCGATTTCATTTCGTTTTTCTTGAACACGGTTGCTACAGGGTAAGTTGTCATGGTTCGGAAGTTATAGTCAAATTATCGATTTTTTGGAACCGGATTTTTTATGAAACCCCCAAAAAGTCAAAAAAGGGTCCATTATGGGGGACAACAAAATTGATGCCAAATTATAGCTGACACTTCTACCTTTCCAAAAAGGTTCAATTTGTGCAAATACCTTTACTGAGTCCAGAGATATGGGTCTTTCCATCCGCATAACCCGATTCTAATCAGTTCATTAAAACTATGTTTTCAATAAAAAAAGGTATATTTTGCGTAAGAATGAAATTCAGAAATCTTTGGTTCGCGTTAGCCGGCGTAGGACATACCCATCGGGTAAGTGGATCCGGGTCTAGTCGGGGTCTCGAACCCGGACTTTCGGGTCAAAAATCTGGGGTCCCAGGTCCGTCCCCCAAGAAAAAAATAGTTTCCCGGGATCATGGTTAAAATACCTATTTTTTTAAATTTTGGCGTCCATTTCAGTAAGGTTTCACCAGTCCGATTTAGACTGTTTTCTTTTGGAATTTTGACATTTTATCGCATTTCTGCTAATTTTCCGTTCCCTTATTTTTTGAGCACACCTAAACGAGAATGACATTTCGTGCTGTTCTCTCTTTTGCTAGTTTTACTAGTAAAAAAGTACTGGAACACAACTTATGTGTTGGGGGTATTATAAGTTTGATTGGGCCAAAAATTATGTAACACCTCGAAATATTGGTTTCCCACTTAGGAAAGTATATATGGATCTTCCTAGCTCGCCGAGCTGAGTCGATCTAGCTATGTATGTCCGTCCGTCCGTCTGTCCATGTTAATTTGTAATCACTCTACAGGTCGCAATTATGGTCCGATCTTCAAGAAATTTAGAATGTAGGTTGGGCTTAGGCCAGAATAGAACCCTATTGCTTTTGGAGATGATCGCCAAATGTTTAGGGGTTGAAATGGACCAAATACTGAAAAAATGTCGGATTTTACAGTAGCTATACAGGTCGCAATTATAGACCAATCGACGCGAAATTTCGCATGTAGATAGAGTTTAGGGCGGGGAAGAAGCCTACTAATTTGGGTGGTCATCGGATAATATTTAGCGGGTAAAATAGACCATATCTTTTGTGTTGAAAAAATCAAAATTTTTCATTAAACCGTGAATATTTTAAATCCCGGCGAAATCACAAAGCCATCACAAGGTTTCTTCTGACCTTTGCATTGATGTTATTATCCAACAAATCGGATATATAGCAAAATATGTGCGATATATATGTCTATCAAAAAAGATATGCTTGAAAGATCTCTTATATGTCGAGAACGGCTGAACTGATTTCGACAGTTCTCATTAATTCAGAATGGCCTCTTGGCAGGAAAGAAAAAACGTCTAAACAATCGCATAAAAATATCTCTCTAAAGATGAAAATATTGATTTTGTAGAATTTTCTCATATTTTTTTCAATTTTGTCATATTTTTGGCATATTTTCATTTTGAATTAAACATTTGGTAATATTTCTACAGCTAACAAAACTAAGTAGTTAGGATATCATATACAGATCGCATTTATGGCCCGATCCTTACGAAATTTTGCATGGGAATAAGATGAGGGTCAGAACAGATGCCTTTTAAGAGATGATCGCTATATACTTAGGGGTTGAAATGGACCAAAAAACTGCAAAATTGTCAGCAGGTCATAATTATCGCCCGATCCTCACGCACATTTGAATAGGGGTTACCGCACATTGCAAAAGCCAAGCAGTTTAGGATGACCATCCAAAAATATTCAATGTGTGAAATAGTTTGCCAACTTTTGTAGACAAAATACGAAAATGTCTATTCCAGTGACTTTTTGGAGAATTCACAAATACAGGAAAGACGCACTTCCGACTATTTCGTTAACGCTGATTTCGTTGAAGAATATAGTCAAATGTCTGTATCTCATATAGATGCGTTTCAGTCAAAAACCAATAATATATGTTAATCTTTTGCCACTTCTGAGAGTTTATTTGTCTTTGGGAAATATTGGTTCCAGATCTAGGAAGACCAATTACGTGCAACATCTACCAATAAATTGGAAATGAGCAAATTCGTTTAAGTTGCTATTTTTCGAACATTAGAGAACGAAACGTGATGGTTTTCTTTTATTATTTGTCACAATATCTTGTGGAATTCTGTCGAGTATTTCGCCTATATAAACTGTATGGTTTATTATAGTGTTGTAGGGTATTCAACTGTCGGCCCCGCTCGACTGTGGCTTTTGCTTACTTGTTTTGATTATCAATTTAAATGAATTTCTCTCATTTACTACGGAGATATGGCATCTCTTAACGAAATATAGGAGTCGGGGCAGCAATTGGAGATAAAAATGTAGAATCAAAACAAAACGAAAGATTGGAAAACAAACTGTGTTAAGGGGTTTAAAGGCTCAAAAGAGGATCACTACGGAGATATGGCATCACTTAAAGAAAAATAGGAGTCGGGACAGCAAATGGAGATAAAGATGTAGAATCAAAACAAAACAGCCACACGCAACCACGTGTGCAACATATTTTTGAGAATTTTAAACAAATTTGGAGTAGTTTAAAGTTTTTAAAGTGTTTTAGTTCATTGCAAGTGATGATATTGATCAGCGGCTTAATTAGAAGTTTAAAGGCAGGTATTAGATGCGATTGGAGCTACATGTTTGAATCTTCTTTAAAATGATCATTAACTCGACATTATTTCCACAGAACGCCTAAAGCTATTGGATCATCATATTTTGACAACAGCACGTTACAAGAGTTTTACAGCAGCCATGTCGGAGGCTTTGGAAATTTTGGAACAGCAACAGGAGCAGAGGAAACAGGAAAAAGAGGTGGCCATAGAAACGACAAAGGAAATGAAGAAATTAAAACGAAATTTAAAACGTCGCAAATGGGTCGATTGGAAAACAGAAGATGAAGAGAAGGGTGATGAAAAACGTGCAGCCTTTAATCCAGCCGATCGGGTGAAGCGGAAAAAGACAGCCATATTATTGTCATATTCCGGTGCAAACTACTTTGGTATGCAGCGTAATCCCGGTATGGCCACCATTGAAGAGGAATTATTCAAAGCAATGCATAAAAACAAGTGGATAACTGATGAAAGTTATGAGCAGGCACAATCGTGTATGTTCCAAAGAGCTGCAAGGACAGATAAGGGTGTTTCAGCGGCTAGACAAGTTTGTTCTATGAAATTACGTAAGTTTGTGTCGACTTATCGTCTAGGGATGGAGATTTTTTTCACAGTACCATTTCTTTTCAGCCGAAGATTTGGACATTGATGCCCTTAACAAAGACCTGCCGGATCAAATACGTTTATTTGGCATTGAAAGAGTTACGAAGGGCTTCAATGCCAAGGATCAATGCAATGCTCGAACATATACCTACACAATGCCTAGTATAGCATTTGCAGATTTCAATGAGAAGTCTGAATACGAGAAATTCCGTCTATCGCCTGAAAGAGTAAAAAAGGCCCAAGGAGTCTTACAGTTATTCGAAGGAACCAAGAATTTCCATAACTTTACAAGTCGCAAGTAAGTGGGTAAAAACAACCCCTGTTCTATAAAGTTAACCTCCGGTTTTCTTTTTGCAGGAACTTTTTAGATCCCTCTGCCAAACGTTTTATTATGTCGTTTACATGCAGCGAACCTTTTGTAAGCCCTCAAGGCGTGGAGTTCATAACAGTAAAAGTAAAGGGGCAGAGTTTTATGCTACATCAGATACGCAAAATGGTTGGTCTCACAATTGCCATTGTCCGTGGTCATACCGATGTTGCAACCCTGGATAGAGCATTAACAGAGGAGCGTTTAGATCTGCCAATGGCACCGGGATTGGGCCTAGTTTTAGATACCGTGCATTATGAACGTTATAATGAACGCTATGGCCAGGATGGTATACATAATCCCTTGACGTGGGAGAAACAAGAACCTGAAGTGAAAAACTTTATAGAGACAAAAATATTTGAAACAATTTATCGAACGGAATGTGAACAAAAACCTTTGTTGGAATGGTTGGAAACATTGCCGTTACATTCCTATGACGCCCGCAAAGAGGAAGCCAGTGCTGCGGCAGCAAATGCCGATAAACCAAACAAAAACGATGATGACAATGAAGAGTAATCAATGTATGGTTTCAAAAAATGCACAATCTTACTTTATTTATAAAAAGTATTGAAATAAAACAAATTCTGAACACACATTCTTTTTTGCCGTAGTGAATATTCTGCATGCATTTTTCAAAAGAACCTCAGAAGTCCCCCAGTTTGTTTAGAAACGGTTATTGCCCTTCTTCTTTTTGTGACCACCCTTACGATGTTGTTGGCGTGGTCCTGGTGTGGGCTCTTGATATACCGGAGTGGCAGGAGAATTCTTACCCAAGTTTGCACGATTAGACATATCACTGAGAAAGATAAAAACAATTTAAAATCTGAGATATCTCTTCGACGTGTAATCAATACTTACTATTGCTCTGCAGCTTGGGATGACATGCCCTGAGAGCCCTTAATAATTTCCTTAGTTCTGCGATCACGCTTCTTGCGATAACCGGTACGTTCGTACTTGGGCAACCATCTTTCGGGATCTGGTGGAACCTCGGCATTGTAGTTCTTGGGCAATTTGCCTTTACGCTTACGTCTGTTGTTCTTTTTACGCTCCACCACTGGTGTGCCGGGAGACATTTCGATCTTGGCATTTGCCGACTTCTTGGCTGCCTTGGTGGACATTACCCAATTGGCCGACTCCAGGGCATCAATTTCAGATGCTGTGGTCAATGTCTCCAATTTAGGCAATTTCTTACTGACTTCCAAAGCTTTTTTGGGATTGAACTGGGCATATGCTATAACCAATTGAGCCAGAACCTTCATGTCATTCGGTTTCAATTTAAGCAACTCTTCCAGAGAGCTGGCTGCAGTTTCTGTTGCACCGCCGCGCAAATGGAATTCAGCAGCTTGACGCCACATATCCGAAAGATCAGCACTGCTGACGTTATTCTTTTTATACCAGTCCACGGCAGTTTTCAATAATTCAGAGGCAGCTGGTTTGTTGTTAAGGCCCAAGTACAGAGTCACCAAAGCCGATACAATTCCAGGCTTATATTTATTTTCACCCAGCGACAAGAAAACTTCAACAGCTCCCTTACGATCTCCCTGGGACAAAAGCAATTGAATAATTGCAAATTTGGTGGCAAATGCCTGATCTTTATCCTTAGTGTTGGAGGCATATTTTTGCAATAAATCAATAGCCTCCTTCTGCTTCTTGTCTTTAGACAACTGTGTGGCTTTTATCAACACAGTCTGGAACTCCAAATCTGGATATTGATTAGCCAGTTTGGTACAGAATTGCTGCACCTGTTCACTAGAATTGGTAAACAGTGCCAACAGACAATTGTTCAAAGCAATGGCCTTCTTTTGACGCGAAGTCAATTTATGTTCGCATGATTCAGCCAAAGCTGAACGTATTTTCTTCTTCGAATCGAAGACATGTTGGTCTCTGTTGATGGCAACTGAATTGTTGCTTGCCACTGCAACCAAGGCTGGATCCTTGGGCTTATTCTTCAAGACCTCAGCATAAATGGAGGCAGCCTCCTTAGTTTTTCCTTGCATCTGCAAGCAATATGCAATCTGCACACGAATTACGTCCAATTCCTCGCGTATCTCATCTTCAGATGCACCATCCTCTTCCAAAGTGTCACGGCACAACTTTTCACTGGCACGCAGTTTCTTTTCTGCCTCCACATATTTTTGGCGATTCGACAAAATGCATGATCCATTGAAATGCTGTTCATAGGTTTCTTCCGGAATATCGGGAATGTCCTTTGTTTCGTCCAAGGCCAAATTAGCTGCAACGGCGCTTAGATTAGTACGCCTTTCATCTTCGTAATCGTCGCTGGTGTTCTTTATGATTTCCTTATAGGATTCAAAACACTCTTCGTAACGTTCAAGACGGTACAGGACTTGAGTGCGCAACTCTTTTAGATTGGGTGGTAACGATGGCAGACGGGCATCGTCAATGATCTTCAAAGCATTCTCAGGTTTATTCAAACGATATTCGCAGTAAGCCTTTTCGAAGATCAAGGCCGAAGCAAGCTTATTCTTGTCAATAAATTTGACAGCTTCTTCGAATTTCGAAACTTGAATCAAACAGATAACTTTGCAATGCAAGGCAGTCTGATCATCAGGAGCAACGCCGAGAACTGAAAGGGTAAATAAGATTTGCTTCAGAATATGGTAGCATTTATTGAAAGTATTTCTACTTCCATGGTCTGGCAATCCAGCTGTCTCACGAAAATTTAGACTTTACTCACTTCTATTCACAGCTTTCATAGCCTTGTCGAACTCCCCATTCTGTCCAAACTTGTTCACATCGGCATATGCAGCCTTAATGATGGATTCCTTAGGATTAGCATCTTTAGACATTTTGAATGTCTACCTCACTTTCACTTTTTACCAACAATAATTTTTTAAATTATTTTGTTATTTATTAAAGAAAGGGCAGCACACTGCACCTCTGCTTCGTAATGTGCTGTCGTGTCGTGGCAGGTACGATTGGCTGTCATAGAAACACAGGGTAACACATTATTTTTAACTACCACAATGACAAAAACTTAAGGGTACCGTAGACTTAGACTTGTGATTTTCTCTTGATCTACGGCATTGTAAGTAAAGTGTCAAGTAATCAGAAAAAGCTTTTGCATTTGTTACTTGAACATTTTTGAAGTTACATATCAGTTTGTATATGTGTGTGTATTGTTTTGAACAAAAAAAAAAAAAAAAAAAAACAAAAGAAAATAATTTGAAATTTAGATGCAACATAATTATGAATTTTCCATGTTAACGACCAACAAATGCTCCAGTTGATTACAATTTTTTTTCTAAGTGTGCCCGACTTTTGCCAAAATAAAAACAAACATAAATCATAAAACATATGATCTTTGCCTTAACAAGGCAAAACTCAAAAGTTCAGCCGAGCCTGGCTGTGGGATTTGAACCGCGGACCTCGGTGTGCAGCCAACTAGAAGTTGCCGTCTCTACGTTCAGAGCCATTAACCCGTCTTCCTAAAGCAGCACTAAAACAAGTGTATGCATTGGAAGCAATGTAGTTGTTGTGGACAAAAAATCCATCACTACAAAAACAAAACTTTGCTGTGAAAAAGATCTGCCAATAGAACTTGAATCGAACCTGGAGAGTTTCTAGTGTATAATTCGCATATGCTAATTTGCAATAAGTTCGAAATATATACTACTTTCCAGAGAACGGCCCTTGTAAGCCATCATCCACACCAAATATGCCTGATGAGCCGCTTAACCAACGGCGAAACGCGTCGCATAGTGGTGAGTGTGTGATAGTGTCTATCTGGCTTTCCTTTTCACTGCAAATTTCAGATCATTAAGCTCGTCTCGAAAGAGAAAACAAACACATAAATCATAAAACATATGATCTTCGCCTTAACAAGGCAAAACTCAAAAATTCAGCCGAGCCTGGCTGTGGGATTTGAACCGCGGACCTCGGGGTGCAGCCAACTAGAAGTTGCCGTCTCTACGTTCAGAGCCATTAACCCGTCTTCCTAAAGCAGCACTAAAACAAGTGTATGCATTGGAAGCAATGTAGTTGTTGTGGACAAAAAATCCATCACTACAAAAACAAAACTTTGCTGTGAAAAAGATCTGCCAATAGAACTTGAATCGAACCTGAAGAGTTTCTAGTGTATAATTCGCATATGCTAATTTGCAATAAGTTCGAAATATATACTACTTTCCAGAGAACGGCCCTTGTAAGCCATCATCCACACCAAATATGCCTGATGAGCCGCTTAACCAACGGCGAAACGCGTCGCATAGTGGTGAGTGTGTGATAGTGTCTATCTGGCTTTCCTTTTCACTGCAAATTTCAGATCATTAAGCTCGTCTCGAAAGAGAAAACAAACACATAAAAACAGAATATTTTCAAAATCAATGAATGGAAGAAGCTTAAATTATGAGACGCACATTAAAGGTATTCGCCAGTTGCAATTGAAAGATAGAGCTGTTTAGATTATATTTTTGAAAGAAAACCCAGGCATTTCATTCATTTTTCCCGCTGTTTAACTAATTAAAAAATAGGAAAAATATTGAATGAATGAAAACAACTTGTTGCATGCAAATTTGACAGAAAGCGGGCATGTCCTTTTTTACGAAGATGTTCTACCTCCTTATTGTACCATGCTCTGTTCTCTATCTCATTTCAAATAAGCCTTCCCAGCTCTGCATTTTCTGTAATTTATTTTGTCAAATTTCAGTACTTAAAAAAAAGAACCTATCTCTGATTTTGTGTATATACAATGGATTTTTGAATATAGATTTTGACAATGAGTTGTTGTTATGGTAGAAGAATACAGGTAGTCGCATCGAAACAACTGCTGGGAAAATTAACTGTCAAACCAATTTTGGAATTGAAAATTGTAAAATATTAGTCTGTTCCAGAAATTGCAAGAATCTACTATTTTTACAATATTTTTCGATATGATAAAGGGAAAATGGGTTATCTAAGTAAAAATTTTTTACATCCTTACTGTTCTGGAACATACCAATTGTTGAAAAATTGATATCATAATAACCCCATCCGATATGTGTCGTATAAGAAAACATATATACTTCCACTTATCTTTGTCAAAACATTTTAAAATTGTTGACATATCAATTGTTGGTGCATATACCTGTATTCTTCTACCATGGAAATTGCAAACATATGATTGCATGACTTTACCTTCTTAGTTCTACCATGAGAAAATCCAATATTTCATTCATTTTATGTGGTTTTTCCCCGATATAGCAATTTTGTGAAAAATTTTAAAATAAACAAAACCGATTGTTGCATTTTTAAAAGCCTATTTGGCATTTAAAGTCTCCGGTACAGAGTTGCATTTTCCTAGTTTCTTTATTAAGCCGCTCGAAAAATCATCTGTTCGTTAAATTTGAGTTTTTTGGCATTTTATTTTTCAAGTAAAGTTTTCTTTGTTATTTGTTAAGTCCAAGTTCAAGGCCTAGATAAGATCGGCCAAGAAGACTACTTTTGATAATTAACTTAGTAGTTTTTGCCTGGTAAACCTTACCATCTTTCTCCCCTAATTAACCAAACGTTGTTTTTATAAAAAACAATAATAATGGGATCAAGCCTGACTACACGTGCAACAACATGATTCGATTTCGATTTGAATTTCAATTGTCAATAATTTTTGGCAGCGAACTTCATTTTTCACATGGCAGAAAAATACAGGTAGATGTATCAATCCTTGGGTGCATTGATATGTCAAAAATTTTTAATTGTTTTTTTTTTTTTTAATATAAGTAGATTTTTATATGTTTTCTTATACGACGTTATTCGTAGGTTATTAAATTCGTGTTTTTCAAAAATTTTTACAAATTTAAAAAATTTTTCATTCAACATTTTCAATTCCTAAATTGGTTTGACAGTCCATTGCCTCAGCAGCTGTGTCGCTGCGTCTACCTATATTCTTCTACCACGATTTTTCATCACTGGCTATTCTGCCATTGATGTTTATATTTTTGTATTATAATAAAAATACAAAAGAATTGCTATTTTTTCCATTTCCCTCTCCCCAACAAATAGAAACTTGCCACAAGTAAACTTGCCCAATGTATATTTGCTGTGAATGGAATGACTTTTAGTGAACTAGTTCCATTACATTGTTTGGTGAATAATTTAGCTGAACTTGCTAAACTGTCTAAAGTTGTAGTTGACAAAGGGGTATATTTTTTGTTTTTGTGTAAAATTATTAAGGAAAAAATCGGAAATTGCGTTATAATTCTGGAAATTAAACGCACTGAAAAATAAGTTGATATCGAAAAATACGCGTATAAACGAGAAAGAAATGTAAAGAAAGTTAATTCCAAAAAATAGAGCAAGAGAAAAAGTTGTGTTGTACTATATTAGTTATATTACAAAATAAATCAATTATTCGTTAAGGAAAAACTTTAAAGAAATACAAGTAAATAATGCAATAATTAAGCAATGAGTGAAGAAACCAAGAAAATTTATTCATACTAAAAAAATTGTGAAAGTGCAGTGCAACGTGATAAACGGGAAGAAAAATTCCCAGTTTTAAAAGTAATAGTTCATCTCCTCCCGCATTACAAGCAAGCAACCCCACTCATAGTCGCATTAGGATTGGAGAAAACAATCAAACATGCAGGTTTTAAAGCAGCAGCAGCCATTTAGTCATTTGCATTTCTTTATAAAAATTTTCATATACTGCGTCATTTGGTGGAGTGGCAATGGTGTCGGTATGTACAAAAAATGGTTTAAGAACGCCCCTATGCAAATATTTTGCACAAGCAAGTCTTATTCTGGTGATAACAATACTCTTTTATTTGTTTTATTTAGCGAATGCAAGCTACGTGGAAATTCAGAGTTCCAAATCGGCATTAGTGGGATCCACAGTCAACTTTACAGCCACGCTATACGATGACAAGGGTAAAATTGCACCAGCAGATGATTACAGCTTTTCGTGGTGGGATGATGCCTATCCCCAGCATAAGGGTGTAAGTTGTGCTGTTTACATTAAATATGGTTTGACAAATATTAGCGGAAGTAGTGACATGTAATTTAAGTAGGCATATGGGAGAAGGGAAGTTAGGTATTTTAAATGTGGGATTTTCCAATTAGATATCAATATTATGGCAGTCGATGCGGTCGGTAACGGTGTGGCATATGTCAAATACTTTAGCGTGAAAGTCCATGTTTCAGAGACATTCATTTTGAAACATGGTTTGAGTATATTCGAATTGGTTTAATGTTATATTCGAGTTTTATCAAAAAGCTTATTATGAAGGAGATTAAAGATTATTGTTTCATGCTTAGCCAAAAGACTATATTTTTATTTAATTGCCGGTGAACGCTATTTTGGTTTGTTTTTGTTTTCTTTTTTTTTTTGTTTTGCTGATAAACTAATTGTGACTCATTCATTATTGTTTTGTGAAAGCTGCTACTATTGTTGGTAATATTCGTTTCTGATAAAAAAATACGTGAGGAATATATTGTCGATTATTAGCATAGGTTGCATTCAAAATATTTAGGGTCTGCTGATACATACGAAAATTATGAATGGGAACGAAAAACAGGAATTCAACGTGCGTTTTTTTTCAAAAGTCTTAATAAAAAATATAAAAAAATCACAAGCTTTGTAACATAAGGAATAGCGATGCAATTATGATTATATATTGAAAGTTATCTAACCATTATTCTTGTCCAATTCTCTTCTGAGAGCATTAATAGAAACTGGCAAAGAATCCCAAAGAAAATTGGGAACGTAAGCTTCAATTAGCTCTGAATTGTAACAAGACTGCCCTGTTCTTCTGCCCTTGATATAGATGAGGCAAACTCAAATTAAGTTCCATGGAATGTCTGCTCTCTGACTTTCCTTGACAGGAAATTACGAGTACTTTAGTTGACTTAATTAAGTTAAAGAAACTGAGCAGGAGATTATGAAAGAAGGCCCGGGAAAACTTCAACAAGTAGAGAAACATGTACAAGTAGGAAGGATGTACAAGATCTAGAGACGGTGGTCAAACGCTATAAGAGGGAGCCTCTAGATCAAGAAGCCTGTCAGGCAGGTCTGAGTGGCATTTATACCGATGCGGCCGTAGATGCCATTAGTAATTACAGGATGAATGCCGTCTTCGGAGTTCACCCCCATTCATCGCAGCTGAAGTACGTACGTTGCACCCATTAATTGCACCATCAAACCTACCCAAGCTCACTTCAGAAGATCTTTGGTTACAGCTCATTAAGGTAGCCGCATTTTAAGCCTAGAGCTCGAACCAGATTAGCAGAATCCAAACATCTACATATACTACCGCTACAACAACAGTAAAAAGTAGGACAAGGTTCTCTAGATCAACAGACCTATTAAGCGGGACTGAATAGCATTCACTCTAACGCGGTCTCAGAAGTGATGGAAGGATATAGAGTGAATACTGTACTAGGGGACCATCCGCTTCCCATCGCAGCTGCCCCGAAAAAAACCGAGTAGATTTGCCTCATTTAAGATCCGGATGGTGCATCCGCCTCAATTCCCATTGGGCCTGGATCGACAGCGATGTGCAGAACGTCTGCCCGGCTTGTGGCACAGGTCCACATGAGACGCTGCACCTATTTCGCTGTCCAGCCAAACCCACTCACTTAACTCCAGACTTGTTGTGGACCCAATCCGTACAGGTTGCATACTTTGTGAGACCGGACTTAGAGGCAGAAATCGAATGAGACCTGGTCTTCTAGTTGATACAAGAAAGAAGGTTCTTCTTCTCAGGATTACCGGCTAGATGATCCTAGATACATTGCAATCGGTTTCCAAGTGTCATCTTCTGGCGTAGGTGGTTTGACAGTCTCACCGATCAATCGAGGGTACCATTACATTCCCCACTATATTACTATGTACGAATTAACGTATTTCAAGAAGGACCTTCTTGTAGTTAAGAATAATATTCAATTTAATGGCACTTGTCTTGAAAGTTTCTAGGGACTCCTGACTATCGACATATGAACTCATTGATCTTATTATGCTATACAAAGTTCTATCGTTTCAGTTGTCTTTTTGATTGCAAGGATCTCCGCCTAAAAACGCTACAATTGTGATTAAGTTTATATGAGGGTTTAATGATAAAATTTAGATAGAATGCGCCAGTACAAGTACCTTTATTCTTCTTGGAACCTGTATATGGCTAGATCGTTCACCACCCCATGCGTCTCTTTCCGATTACATTATGCCAATGAAATTGAAGTCGATTATTCTTCTTAAAACCTTCTATGTATAGGGCCAGCACGTCCACCACCATAGGCTTCTTTTTCCGATAATATGAACATGTGATTACTAAATTTATAACGTTTATCTAAGATATTTTGACTTGTGACGCGAGAAGTGTCATTCTCTTCCCGCAATCTCAGCATACTCTTTGCTGCTTGCAACTGAACCAATAGATGCAATGGCTGGATGTTTAGCATCACGGTTAAGGTAAATTGAGGAGAGCTCTTGGTAACTGGGGCTATCAGTTAGGAATCGGTTTTTTGCAAGGCTATTAATGTGGGCATGACCGACCTGGACTCGATTGCATTCCTGGGAGTATTATAAATAAAGTTAGTAAATGGATTACAACTAATTGGGGAACCTGAATCTGCCCTTTTAACGAAGGAGGGGAAGATATTGGAAACAAATAACAAACACTCCAGAGAAGGACGACGCCAAAGGCATACCCGATATAGCGTCCCGATTAATACATTCAAATCCCCAGGTTTAAATAGCAATAAGCAATGTTTGTATCTGTAACTTCTATGGAGAAAAAGGAGTGGCATTGAAATCCATATTGTCTAGGAAATCTGTAACCTAAAATCTTCTATTTCTTTTTCAACTTATATATAGGTTTCTCAACCTTGTAATTAGAAACCCTCATTCCCTTGCCTTTCCAACATCGTTACATAAAGGGCAAGTCTGATGAAGTAGCGAAGTAAAAGGTATCAGGCTATATAGAGATTAATAAAATAGAGGGCTATTTTAACAACGTGAATCTTGCACGTCGATTTCGTCTTTGGAATAGCTAGACAAAAAGTTGAGAGGTAACATTGTCAACACAGATAATGTAGCAATGTCTATTCAAAGGATTATTCAGTAGGGCCGCACAATGGATCCCAGTTCTTTTGGGAAAATACCCCAAAAAATTGAAAGTCCTGATTTAAATATGTCATACACACTGAAAACGTGGATCTAGTTTTCTTTGGGAAGTTCCACTTACACGAAATAAATACTACTTTCTATAGAGCGGCCCTTGTAAGCCATCATCCACACCAAATATGCCTGATGAGTCGCGTAACCAACGGCGAAATGAGTGGTGAGTGTGTGATAGTGTCTATCTGGCATTCCTTTTCACTGTAAATTTGAGATCCGTGACCTCGTCCCGAAAGAGAAATAAACAAATCATAAATATATGATTTTCAGCTTAACAAGACAAAGCTCAGAAATTAAGATTTAAAAAAATATTCTCATAAGGTGCTATTTGGTTCACGAATAACGGTTTATGGAGTGAGTCATCTACCCTTTCGTCTTGTAACACCCATTTCATTTTTATATCAGATGTATCCTTTATTTTTTCCTAAAATTCTTTTCATAGCCAAAAGAATTTACAGAGTTTTTTAATGACAAATACTTGTTATATTTTCTGAATCTACGTTCGAATTCTAGTCATTTGCATTTCGATAATACGTTCAACTCAATAATGTAAAAACATTGTTGATTCCTTGAACTTTTTCATATTTAATCTTTAAATCTAGTTATTTACTTTACCTAACCAAAATAAGTATTGAACCGAAGTTGATCTCGTATTTCGATCTCCTTGAAAATGAAATGCTAACAAAACGACCGGATTTAATTTCTTGTTTATCAACAAAGATATGGAGGTGATAAACAAAATTGATATAAAATGTGAATGTGACATCCGCAGCGATATGGATATGTTTGTATATAAAATAAACAAAGTGTTATTGAACTGTCTACAATACGCGACAGGCAGATAAAGTCTGAGACAAAGTATTTTCATTTTGTCTCAAAAATTAAAGTATTTATTGTTTATTTTTTCTTAATATCTTTATTGATAACACTGACATTTTTTAATAATTTATTGTGTGTTTTAATTAGTTTCAATACTGCTTTTCATTTTTCCTGTTGTTTTATAGATAAAAAATCGAAATCATTAATTAAAATCCCCAATCAGCACCCATAACTCCATAAACTAATCTCGAAATATAAAAATTAAGAGATATAATCATTCAAATCTTGTGTTGTAATAAGTCTGAATGCAATCGGATGTTAATTTCGCATTTTATGAGCTTCATGGATATATAAAATTTTGACCCTTTGTGGGGGAGGTACCGAAGGGGTGTACCGATCTTTACAGCAGAACTTGTGTTAGTTGAAATAATGGAATCGGATGTTTATTTCGTATTTCATAATTGTTTTGGCTATTCAAACCTTGACTCTTTGTGGGGAAGGTGTCATAAGAAATAGTCCGATCTCTACCATATTTATAACAGATCTTGTGTTGCTGGAAATATTGAGATGTGCCAAGTCTGAATGGAATCGGATGTTAATTTCGGGTTTTATGAGCTTCAAGGATATTGAACATTTTGACCGTTTGTGGGGGAGGTACCAGAAAGAGTGTATCGATATATCCAATCTACACAGCATATTTTGTGTTAGTAGAAATAATGGTATTTGTGAAATATGAAGAGAACCGGATGTTTATTTTGGATTTTATAATCGTTTTGGTTATTTAAAATTTTGACCCATTGTGGGGGAGGTGTCGAAAGAATTGGTCCGATCTCTACCATCTTTATAACAGATCTTGTGTTGATGGAAGTATTGAGATGTAACGAGTCTGAATGGAATCGGATGTTAGTTTCGCTTTTATGAGCTTCATGCGTATTCAAAATTTTGACCCTTTGTGGGGGAGCTACCACAAGGAGTGGACCGATATTTTCCATGTTCACACCAGACCTAGGGTTAATAAAAATATTGTGATCCGTGTAATTTGAAGACAATTCGACTTTTATATCACATTTTATAGGAGTTATAATTATTCACAATTTTGATCCTTTGTGAGGAGGTACTTAATGGAGGGGACCGATATTGTACATTTTCACGCCTGACTGCACTGATGCAAATATTAGGATTAGCAAAGTCGGAGAAAAATCGGATTATCCTTTCTCTTTCTGTGCAGTAAAACCTTTTTTGAAATGTTGACCTTTTGTGGGGGATGTACCAGAAGGAGTAGACCGATATTGCTCATCTCCGAACTCTATCTCATTTTGATAATAATATTACGATGAATCAAGTTTGGACCAAATCAGATACTCATTTCTAGAGTTATCGTACGCACCAGCCAGACAGACAGACGGATGGACGGGCATCGCTAGATCGATACCAAATGTCCTGAAACGATTTTGGACTAAAGACACTTCTCTAAAGTGAGGAGTCAACTGCTAAATATCATCCGTCCATCAACCAGAATTCAGTGCTTCTCTCTAGGGTCAAATCATTCACCCAAAAATTATTGCTGGTAGAATATAATACACTTCTATTTTAACCCTAACCGCAACCTAATTATGAATTAAGAGATGGGGCTACAATTGCGAAACGGATATTAATTACATTTAAACAGGGTTTTACGGCCAGAACAATTCAGTTCCTCCGGATATTCTTATCAATTTTCTAAAAGATTAATCTTAAACCACTATATCAAGGCGTTAACAATTTCGAATCAAAACAAACAGTACCTTCTCCGCAGATTTCTGTAAACTATACATAATTATTAACGCCCCCTTGCATTTCCTTTTTTTCCTCATTTCAGCAATTTCAAACAAAACTCCCCACGAATACATGGTCCATTGAATATCCTAAGAATAAGACAAGATATGGAAAATATAATGTGACCGTTGAGGTGGAAAAGAAAATGTGGATCTGGTATACGGTGGCCAGAGCAACGTCGTCCATAGAAGTAACCGATACACTGGGCGGTCAACTCCAACTGATACAAGATGGTAACACACGACCGACCCAATATGTTTCGACAAAGGGTTTGGTCAATCACACGATTGACTTGCCCGCCGAAGAGGAAAGGTATCTAATGAAAAATGCAACATATATACAAACATATTGGTTTCAAAACTGTACATATCTTGGCGTGTCCGATGGCCTGAGTTATCAGGCCGAATATAAGGATGCTGAGCAGGTCTATGACATTGAAGCTTTGGTAGTTGTTTCGTTTGAGAAATTACCAGATCCAGTTACGACTACTACAACCACCACTACCACGACTACTACGACCACTACCACAACAACAACAAGTACGACAACAACTACCACAACAACACCGAAACCAACCACAACAACTCCCACTACGACGACCAGCAGTACAACCACCACGCCATCGCCAAAACCTGCAAGTAAAACGAAACGTGAGGTATCCGCTGCAGAAGCTTCAAAAGAAATTGCTCAAATGGCTCATGCAAATGCTGCATTGCTGGGTTTAAATCTCACAGCAGCATTGCAGCAAGAGAATAAAAATCACAATCCCTTAAATGTTTCGGCTGCTTTGATAAATCCCAAATTGATGTCAAGCTCAAATGCAAAAGTCCAATATTACAATCTTTTACCCAAATCGTATGCTGATGAACCACCATTTAATTGTGTCAATAAATCCATTATATCCCGGGATCCAATGAAGGTGTATGGCTATTATCGTAGACAAATTGTTACCAAGTGTAAGTTTTGTAATCTCATTTGATTAGTTTTACTTATAACAATATCATTGTTTATTTATAGCTCCCATTAGCAACTTCTCTGTCAGTGGCACAAATTGGTTACAGCATGGTGATCTCTTTAATTTGGAAATAACATGTAAAGGATCTCCAAAAATTCAATACTGTGTGTTAGTTTATGATGGTAGGTATTGCTGTGTTCATTAAGGTTGCTAATTTTAATGGAAAGGAAAAATAATAATTTTGATGAAACGTTGGACGTCGTGCGTATGTTAGGTAAAAATCTCTTCCCCCGACGAATTGAATCAATGTGAGATTTCAACTAAAACTTTGAGTATCTAATATGTTGGCTCATCGGTATAAAGTGAGAGTGTCACATTTTGAAAAAAAAAATTCACTCAGAGACCTTTGTTGTGTTCTTCCTAAGAACAAAAATTACAGATATGTTATAAAATAAAAATTGAGCAGGGAGGTTTGTCAAAACAGCGGATGTTTTTAACAAGCATATCGTTAGAGTTTCTATCTGCCACAAGAGATGAATAGCATTAGTCTGCCTTTTATTAACCTGATACATCTGTATGTAGGTGTTAAATCGTCTCTACCTCTTCTTCAACCTCATATAATCTACAGTAGTCAGAACCGCTGTTATCCAGGCACGTAAGGAAAGACTTTCGTGATATAGAGAGAGAGAGAGGTACAGAGGTATAAGAGAGGGCCTCTAGATCAACAGGTCTATCAAGCGAAACTGAATAGTATTCACTCTAACGTGGTCTTAGAAGGATATATAGTGAATAGCCACATCATTCCCTACCATATTATTATGGCCTGGAACCCAACAAAACTTAGTGAAGTCTCGTATTTCAAGAGGGTTATTTTCCAATTTTTTGATGACATTTGACTTGATAGCTTTAGCCTGTCTATCGACATATATAGTCACTGGTTATCTTATAGTGTATCTAACTCCTCTTACCATTTCGGCTGCCTTTAAAGTTGGAAGGATCTTTGCCTGAGCCATAGACTCCGTGGGACAGTGCTTGTGTCCGTTGTTTGTACGACAATGAAGGTTGTCTTTTCATTGGCTAGATTGTTGCTGACTTCAACAGAACTCTGATCAGAAGTTTTGCCTACAGCTGGGCTAGTCTTCTTTCCGAGGTCAGAAAGGAGTTCATTCTCAGGAGAACACTGGTAGATGCGGTGATTCTTTACGACCTTTCGGGTCTCCTCCAAAAATGTTTATAACATTTAAGTGACCGCTTGTAACCCCTCTTACGTTTTTCCTCTCTTTGGTCAGCGTAATTGTAGGTAATTAGGATATTGGTAGGTACATTACCCGTCAGATCACTTTCAACGACGGCGTCTTGTCGTTGGAGGTTGATCCCATCGGTGCCGACCGATAAAATTCTCTCCTTGACGATGAGGAAGTATTCACAGAGATTTTTTTCATTGCGACTCGACTTTTTGTGATAAGAATATGACCGGTTCAGGGTAGCTTTAAAAAAACCAAATGAAATACTCTCTTGGTTGAGTCAATGGTTTTGGTTTTCTCAAGGAGGATAGACAACTGTTCGCTCTGTCTTTGTATATCATATCACGTCGCGGTACGTCAACAGAGTGTCGTCTCCAACCACATTTGAAACCATGTTCGTAGTTGATGCTTCTTCCAAAGCAATTTGGTCGTATGTTGTTGTTGTAGCAGCTCATACAATATTCGGCATTTATTTCGAGCGGAGAGCGACCATCGGCTGTTATGGCGGCCCACACCATCAACATGGCCGGCGCTTGAGTTCTGGTGGCCAACCGAAGGTGCACATTTTCAGCTGACCTCTTTGGCAAGTGAACACGATCATTGTGTTTGTTTACAAACTGCTGGACAACAAATGTTTTCTCATCGGAGATCGGAGTAAACCAAATTCGGCAGTTCACCACTTTCGGTCAAGCGAAGCAACTCTTTAGCTCTTTTGATTCTATTTTCTGTCTGTTGCTGTGTAAGTTCTTGCACTTTTTGAAATTTCAATGGCTTTACCCCGAGCTGATTTTTCAATATTTGCCGAATTGAATGCGATATGTTCAGCTCACAAGCCATTTTTCTGCCACTGCGACGCGGGTTTCGATCAAGTCGCTTCTTTACTTTTCGAACCATTTCTGCTGATGTTGCTGTTTTCTTCTGTCCCCTTTTTTGACGTCGGGCTACGCTACCAGCATCACGAAAACGAGCGATGGTACGAGACACCAAAGATTTATTCACATTTAAATGCTGGGGTGCTCTAACGATAGTCACTTGTGGTTTTCCAGCCAAATATGAAGAACGATAGTCACTTGTGGTTTTCCAGCCAAATATGAAGAAATCACACTATCACGCTTGAATTCCAACACGAATAACTTTTTTTTCTGGAAAATTCTCACCAAAATGCATTTGTATTGAGCAGTCACTGGAATAATTTGAACAGCTGTCGGACGAGTGGCTTGGGAATGACAGTAGCCTGAAGATGGTTGCATTTTTTTCATCTCACTATATATATACATGTACAAGATGGCGCAAAAGTAAACTTCCGATGTTTTTGGCTGTAATTAAGACATTAGAGGTCAATCATAGAATTTATAGCTTTTTCTTGTATAAGTAGCAACCGACAATATGTATATTTAATGTTTTGTAATTTTTTAAAAACCTATTATTTTTTCGTAAATTCCAGCCCCCTATAACTCCACCGGCAATGAAACATGTAAATATTACTATGACACTGACAATTGTGGATTTAAATTCTATCGCTATTATGGCGAAAGTAAAACGCTTCTATTCTTTATAAAGAATGATGTTTCGGAAACTGTAAATCAAGTTACAATTAATATTTATGAAGGTGAGATTTGGTATTTTTTTTAAACTAAAGGAATTTATTTCCATTACTAATTCGTTATAAAATTGCAGCCAAAAAACAATCTCAACTGTCTGTGGTCGTTGTACCTGTATCCTTTACATTAGTGGCAATAATTCTGGTAGTATTTGGCGTTTCATATTATCTACAAAGTCGAAACCGGTAAGTTGTTTTTGTTTATGAGACAAATTACCTGTATGGTGAAGCGGAAGAAAAGCACCTGTTTCTTGTGTTTTTACAAATTTTTAATTGTTAATTTAATTTAAGAACTGTCCAATAAATTTGTGATTTTCTTTCGAGTCATGCAGAAACAGGCCCAAAAATATAATTTTTTTTTAATAATGTGTTATTTTTCTTCCTTAGCTTCAATGTTGAAGTAGCCGATTTCAATTTCGGTGAAACACAGTCGGTCGACATGGAATACAAGACATTCCAGCAACGTTTGTTCGATAGCATACGTGATGTCTTGCCATCACGTCGACGCTTCTCCAATTCCAGTTCAGATTTGGGACCAGAACCTGATAGTCCTGGTGTTGGCATCGATAGTAGTTTGCGATATAATACAATGAATTAAAAGCATAGCAAATAAAGAAAAAAAAAAGGAAAATCGCAACGTAACAACAGGTTATTCCTTACATTGAATTGTTGAAATATGTTTACAGCAAAATATTGAAAACAAAAAAAAAAACAGATTCGTATATTTATACATATGTATATGTGGAACACACACACACATACATACTATGCAAATGTTTTATACACACACACACACGTAATTATTATACTACAAATTTATTATTATTATTATTTCTTTTTTGTTACAAATATTTTCACAATATTTTTTTATTATTATTATTACTACTAATTATTAACATTTTTGTATATTGTATTTTATAGTAATCGTTTTGTTTGAAAATTTGTCTTCATTTATGTACGTCATCCATTGTTTATTATATATTTTCCCCCCATCTCGAGTCGTCTATTTAACAGTTGGTTTAAAATATTGAGATAAGTTGAATGTGTATTTGGACTAACAATTTGTAATACAGTATCGGTTGAGGTTAGCATAGAAAATTTGTGACGTAGAATAAGGGAAATTTGGAGGTATGTGATAAAAACCGATTCAATTCGACTTGGGATATCAAAATTGGATATATTTTGTCTTGGATAATAATAAAGTATTTCTTGGCCAAATTGCTTTAACACAATTATGTTTCCAAACCTAAGTCACAATTTTTATAACATTTTTTAGCCAATTGTGAGTTATACAAAAGTCTATGTAAAACCAAATCGAAATAGTTTCCATCACATACCCACATATTAACACAATTGTCTCTGTGGTAGCAAGTATGTTTCTATTAGGGTCTGGTTTTCAATGACGATTCGAAAGTAAAAATAAAGAGAAACACCCATTCCTTATTTTTTTATTAAATTTAAAATATAATCATGGAATGGGTGTTTTCCTTTCGAATCGTCATAGAAAAAGAGGTCCTACGTTTTTAAGGCATATAGTTTAAAAATTGTGAACTATGGGGAGAGAAGCAACAAAATTAAAAGTGACATTTTTTTCATTCATCCCCTTCTTATCCATAAAAGCAATTTTTCTTTTATTGAACTTTCTATAGCTAGCTCTTTAGTAATAAAATCCTCCTTTCCCCTTTTTGTTTGGTTTCGAAATTCTACTTGAAAAATAACAAGAGCATCTTAGACAAAATTTGTTCTTGGGAATAGATTTGTAATATTTTAATGTACACATTTGTCCGTATAAATTATTCTACCATCAAAACATTGCTATTTTTATACCTTACACCCCAAGTTGGTCAGTTATTATGTATTTGTGCATTCGTTTGTAATAGGCACAAGGAAACGATCACATTCTGAATCGATTTATGCATGTCCGTTTGTCTGTCCATGTATTTTTGTAAACAAAGTGCAGGTAGCATTTAGTGCCCGATCCAAATGAAATTTTGCACAGGTCGTTTATTTCACCCAAGGGCGAACCCTATTGAAATTTGAGATACTTGGGCAAAAATTAGATATAGCTTCCAAATATATCCTCGTCCGATTTGCCATTTAATGTGCACCAAACGTGTAATATCAGCCCTAATAGTATAAAATTTCGCACTTATGATCAAATTAAGGCTGAAAATAATTAGACCCAATTTAATCGAAATCGGTTCAGATATACATAGCTATAGCTCCCATATATATTGTTAACCCCATTTGTTATTTTTGTCCTCCGAAGCCGTAATATGCACTCTTTAACAATGATATTTGGGGAAATATATCAAATATAGCTCCGAAATACCTTCGCTAAATTTTATAGAAATTGGTTTCGATTTGGATATAGCTCCCATATATATCTTCGTCCGATTTGCTTTTTATTGTGCACCAAACGTGTAATATCACCCCAAATAGTATAACATTTTGCACACTACGACCAAATTAGGCGGGAAAATAAGTATGCCTAATTGTATCGAAATCGGCTCATATATAGCTATAGCTCCCATATACATTGTTCATCCGATTTATTATTTTTGTCGTCCGCAGCCGTAATATACACTCTGTAACAACGGGGAGAAATATATCAAACGCAGCACAGAAATACCATTCCCAAATTTTATCGAATCGGCTTCTGTAACAACGATATTTGGGGAAATATATCAAACGCAGCACAGAAATAACATTCCCAAATTTTATCGAAATCGGTTCAGATTTGGATATAGCTTACGCAAATACCTTCGTCCGATTTGTATTTTATTGTGTACCAAACGTGTAATATTAGCCCAAATGGGATGGAATTTGGCACTTACGACCAAATTGAGCATAGAAACAAGTATGTCAAATTTGATGAACATCGGTTCAGATATAGCTCCCATATAGGGTGTCTGGTATCATAAAGTCGCCCCACCCGACATTTAGACCTTCTTTACTGTTTTTTTTTTTTTTTTTCAAAATTAGTACTTAAAACTCCCAATAGGTAACAACCAACCATTTCGAAGAATTTAAGAAACGATATCACTGGCAAAATTGAAAAAGGACCCAAAATTTAATTCCGATACTTTTATTTTTACATGTTTTCATTACCCCTTGGTGGAGGGTTTAAGGCATTTTTCTTTGTATCTTTATTTATCTATTTTCAAATTCGCGAGAATTCTAAATGTTTTTTATGCCCATACAAGCTATTATGTTATTTCAATTTGGATAAACAATTTTTATGGTCAAAAATGTGCAATTTCATTGTGGTCCATTAAAAAGTTCACAATAAATAGAATAGAAGAATGTTCCTTTTGAGAAAATCATCCAATACCTTGTTTCTACAGAGGGTTTTTTTATATAAGAAAAGCATTCACAGCACTATTGGTGATTATTCTTAGTGAGGTTCTGCTTCATTAAATTCGTTTATCCAGAATAAGACAGTGCAATATTTTCTCTTTATCATAATTGTCTTTCATATTATCGTGGTTTAGTTAGGAAATTATTGGATTAATATTAAAAAAACTATTTTGTTAATTATGACCTAATTACAAATTACCTTTCAACTTTTTCAAATTATGACCAAAATTTATTCCAGTAGTGCATAACATTCTCTAAAGATTTATATAAATCCTCTATGGGGCTACAAAGCCTAACAATAATTATGGGATATACTTTCTTCAAAGAAGTCTATCAATATTTTTATTTTTTAAATTCTCCCATGTACTATCAAGATAATCTTCTGCCATCATATGACCGTATTTGAAACCATGCTACCTTAAAGAAATTGTACCAAAGACAGAAGAATACAGATAGAACAAGGCAGATTAACTGGTTTAAACCGCCATGGGAATATGCACATTTTAAGAAAGGCCTATGGAATAGAATTTTGAGTCCACATTTCTGGATTTTTCAAACTTTCATTTGTTTTTCGCTTCTGTAATATTGGTTTTTATATTAACATGCCTCTGTCATGCGCTGTTACTGGGTGTATTGTAGACACAAACAATATGCTCGAAATGCATTTTATTTGGTCTCTACCTTTTTAGGTCTTTGATAGTTCCATGAGTTTTTCCAACATTTTAAAGATCTTTATAACCTCAACTGTTTCTTGCTCAATACTACCAACTGTTTCTAAGCCACATCACCTTTTCCTCTTCCTAACCAGTTATATATTCATATGTTTTTGTCAACTAATTTAATTTTTTTTGTTCGATGATTAAACAAAAACATAACTCTTACGCCGTCGTTCTCATTGGTGGCCAAACAAAAAAAAAACATAATAAAACAAAAAAAAAAAAAAACACAAATAACATAACCTAGAATTGTTATAGAACAAAAACGTATTTTTCCGTTTAGTCAACTAAAGAAATTTTCAAAAACAAAATATTCACTTTATAATTGACACACACACCCTCATTGAAACTCCCGAGACATTGAAAAAAACGATTGAAGTGAAAAAAAAAAACTTAAACAAAAAGACACAAAACAAAAATTAATTTAATCTCAACCAAACAAAATTATAACAATAACATTATTATTATTACGATAAAAATTATAAAAAAAGACTGTCTTTGTTCTATATATAAATATATGAAAAAAGTAAAAGAAAATAACAAATGAATAAAATTAAATTAATGCGAAAAACCAAACAAAATGCTATCTCAAAATTATTAAATAAAATTCATTTTTTTAATACCAACAACAACATAAAGTCTACACAAACATTTATTTCACTTGTTCATAATATACATTAACATTCAATCAGAACTCCATCCATCCATCCTACCATCATCATCGTAACGTTCCATTTTTTATTATATATGAAAAAATATGTTCTCATTTCTTAAGTGATTTGTGTTAACCGCCACAACAAACAAAAAATCAATCTTGATCTTTAGCTTTAAAATCCATGTCTGGACTAGAAGAAGAAATAAAAAAAAACAAAATACGAAAAATTCAATAACGGAATACAATTACTATTATTACTTGTATTTAGTTTATAGTGTATATATTATTCATGCCCAATTATATAATTTGAAATTATATATATTATTTAAAAAAAAAGTAAAAACGAACATGAACAAAAAAACAGAAAACAATAATAAAGTATTTCATTATTACAAAAGTAAAATTCTTTTTATTGAAAATCGATTACATTTGGAATACGGCTCTGGCCAGTTATTTAAGAGAATTTCTATGACCCCAATGGTTTGACTTATCGATGCCTTTCCATTGAAATTACAGTCACTCAACTCGGAGACTACTGATACATTGTATTCATCCGAAATGCTTAGAAAAATTTAGAGCGGAATACCCCATAGCTCCTTATACATTGAATTATCTCTTGGAGTGTTTACAGAAGGAAGGTGTAAATTATTTGGGGTTAGAGGATTCACATCAGCAGTATTGATGGCGAATGCTATCTCTGCTGGTCCCACTGACTTTGAACGGATCCCGTAGTCTGAGCGTTGTTCTGTGGGATTTTCATAGGGGGAATAAAGGGCTATAGTGCGATATTCAATGCAAAGGTTCATAGAAAATGATGTTAATACACGGCTGGTGAATTGAACACCATTGTCGGCGAGACATATTGTTGGGCATCCAAATCGATAAGTAATCCGCTCCTTAAGTGCTTTTACTAC